TGCTAAGGGACAATTAAAGACTAATACAAATATACCGTTCACCAAACCTCCGAGATAAACGTGCTGCATTAAATTATCAAACTAAACTGCCGGTAAAATGAAAGAATACACCCATGTTTGAGTGTGGCTAAAAATCAAACAAGAAAGAAACAAATTGACATGGTTATTCGATGGTGATGTACTTGTTACGGGCGTCATAGCTGTGTTTTGGACATAATTTTGCAGTGTTTCGGCGACTGCTTTCAGCCTAGTAACATATTTATAGCGTTTGTAATTGTGTGATCAAATCCAATTTTCAAGTGTATACTTTCTTTTGAACGTCAGTTTACTTGAAACTATTACTGATGATGTTTTTTTATAATTTGCTAGTGGTTAAAGCGTCCGCTCGTCCAGACCCGGGTTCGATTCCGACATGGGTACAATGTGTGAAGCCCATTTCTGGTGTCCCCCGCCGTGATATTGCTGGAATATTGCCAAAATAGGCGTAAAACCATACTCTCTCACTTTTATAATTTGGCGAAAAAAGGCAATATAAGTCGGTTAATGCCTGTGATGTCATAGGATTTGCAACGAAACATTATGTTTCATCGGATTATTATTGTTTTTCAGCCAGAACTTTATTTTTTCATTTTGTTCACCTGGCGAATTGCATTTATGATCACAAGAATACACAGTCTGATTTGACATAGAATTAGAATATCTAATGTATATGCTTAAACGTTCAGTCAGTGCATAAACGTACATATTGTCACCGTATCGTATATCTACCCTTGTCACGGTCTAGTGACCACACCACTCCCTCGCTTTATTTCCGACACCGCTCGGCAAAGCCCGGCGGTCGTCGTTGTACAGTGTCATTGCATTCTAAATTAGATAAGTAGTGAACCGACTATGTAATGTAATGGCACACTCATACCATGTATGTACATGTATGTTTGTAATCTCCTATATGTTCGCTACCTTATTCATGTATTTGATAACTATGATTTTCAAACATTAGGGGAATTTATTTGTACCCTCACACATTGCTAATGTATTTGTGATCATATTTGCCTCCTCAATAATTGTACATAGCTTGTATATCTTTAATGATACCGTTGGATAGCCTATGTTCAGCGCTTTATTTTGATACTTACATCCTCCGTCTGGATACAGTAGTTAGTTCGCTATTCGTGTTTTCCCCACGTTTAGAAACACATATTGGCTGAGTGCCTAAGAATTCACCGACTGTCCAGGAGAGATTTTCTCCTCTGAGGTCCGCGCACAGTTTTTATGTACTTCTTTAAGGATCTTGTGTCTTTACCCACAGGCTCGTCAGATCGTTTACGATTGTCTCGCTACTGGGTGGTCACGCGAAACTCAGGTTTCTTTGGAAGTGATTACGGGGCACTTTTGATCTAGTACTGACTTACTCTTGTTGTATTGAGCTAATTTAACGCAGTAACTAGGGTTCCAAATACGCAGTTTTCTAGTAATCCGTGGATAACCAACATTCACGTGATTGTCTAGCTTTTGTTGAATTTAATATTTCCGTGCTCAGTCAAAGTGCGTGAATCTTAAGTCTATTGGACTAGATTGCTATTCAGACGTTCTCGTCTATTTTATTGTCCTAGTGATTTATTTTCGGGATAGGTCCTCGGTTTATTTCCCGTTATTTCAGGTAGACTTGTATGTAGAATTCACAAGTGGTCGCTCGCACGGGGTGTGTGTTAATGACAATCAATTCACGTTTTTTGTTAGTTTCACGAGTGAGTGAGTGAGTGGAAAGCGCTAACAGCGTTTTTACGGTGCATTATTGGTGCAAATTGGCCATATAGAAGCGTACTACAACACATGTTGAAGAATACTCGGTGTGGGAGATCAATCATTCTTTTTCAATTTAATTTAAGGCCATGGGCTTAAAGGCGTTTTATTGTTTCCGTTTTAAGCCCATAGTTTAATAACGAGGGGGCTAAAAACGTGCAATCCTGGTTATCTGACGGTGCCAAATCTGGTGGATGTTCAATGTGTTCTAAGTCACATTAATGCACAAAAGCCCGAGTATTTGTTTGTTGTTTAACGCCGCACCCAGCAATATTCCAGCTATATGACGGCGGTCTGTAAATAATCAAGTCTAGACCAGACAATGCAGTGATTGACATCATGAGCATCTATCTACGCGATTTAGAGACAACATACTTGTGCACAGGTGTATTGTCGTGGATAAAAAATACACCTTTAGTGATTTTTCCACAAAGTTTAGCCTTGATATCCTCACGCAGTTGTCTACGCAGATTACCATAATATTGGCCATTAATGGTCAGTCCTTTAGAATTCCAACACACCGAAGCAATCACCTTACCAGCTGATCGAATAGTTTTCTTCTTCTGAGGAGACGTCGGCTGTTTCCCTTGCTTTGGTGAGGTGAGGTGAAATTGGGTTTAACGTCGCGTCCAAGATTATTGCACTTATATAGCGACGTGCATGCACGTGTATGTGTGTGTGTGGCTGCTTGTACTAGTCCGGACTGATGCCGATTTATAGTGCTAGCTCACTGAGATACCATGCCGCAGTTTAACATGAATACCCCACTCAGACACAGTATACTGACTCCGAGCCGACCAGTCCTTGTTTTAGCCCCTTAATGCCGAGCGCCAGACAGGGTAACAACAAGTACAATCTTTTAACGTCTTTTTGTATGATGCGGCCCGGGATCGAACCCTGGACCTTCCGCTCTCCGGGCGGACGCTCTACCACAAGACAACGGAAGCGGTCCCCTTGCTTTGGCTGTTGTTTAGTCTCGGGCTGATAGTGGTGAACCCAACGGCGTAAGTCATCACAAGAGGTGATGAAGCTGGCGTTTCTGGTCAGGAGATCCAGAAACCTCAAACATTTGGCATGCCCAGTTCATTCCTCTGAATGTGCTGAGAGATGCCTACTTGTTATGTGACTTGTGGTAATTTGCAGAGGAAGGGATATCATCTCCGTAAGGTTGACACCATATCTGCATGGATGGATGTTTGGGTTAGCCCAATTTTCTCTAATGTCATCTACAGAGAATAGCTACTCATTTTATTTGCCTGCAGACATTTGGTTGTGTATTTGGTTCAAATACAGACTGTAAATATTGTACGTATCGTACTTAATGCATGCACAATACCTCAGTACATCCTTAGTAGTTAGGCCCTGAACCTTCTAGCCATCCCCTGTATATTAAAGCTATATCATATGAGCATCTAAATACAAGCCAGTGGTTGATAGCGCAACCATTGTCTGACAACAATGACACACAATCAGCAAGGTCATTTTGGCCACCTGATACCCACTTTAGTCGTAACGAAGTGATCATTGCGACTTACAAAGGCTTATTTTCTGTGTGACAACAAAGATTTATCTTGTGACCGCCATGACACTTTCCGTATGGAAACACAAAGGGCGAACGGGGTCAGTTGTGACGAGTGACGTAACAAATCATGTTCAAACCCACATTAAGACATTGAAGCTATTACGATAGCTTTTCGAATCCTGAATTATTAAGTTTGATGATTTGGTTGGTTGGTTGGTTTGTTGTTTAACGCCGCACTCAGCAGTATTCCAGCTATATGACGGCGGTCTGTAAATAATCGAGTCTGGACCAGACAATCCAGTGATTGATATTATGAGCATCGATCCACGCAATTGGGATCGATGACATGCATCAACCAAGTCAGCGAGCCTGACCACCCGATCCCGTTAGTCGCCTTTTACGACAAGCATAGTCACCTTTTACGGCAAGCATGGGTTGCTGAAGACCTATTCTACCCCGGATCTTCGCGAGTCTAATGATTTGGTACGATATTACGCAAATAAAGTCCGGGTGATTCTTCGAATATGTCAAACGAGAATTAACATGGTCTTAAACAGTGACGTTACCATATAATATTCATATAATCACAATGTAGTTCAGCTCATAAATGACCACGTGATGCTCCGGGTTACAATTGGTCTTCGTAATTCAATGCTTGTCGTAAGAGGCGACAAGCGGGATCTGGTGGTCAGACTCGCTGTCTTGGTTGATGCATGTCATCGTTTCCCAAAATAGATGCTCACGGTGTTAATCACTGGATTGTCTGGTCCAGACTCGATTATTTACAGACCGTCGTCATACAGCTGGAAAAACAACAATAAAGCAAACGAAAAAAAGAAAAACAGTTTTTAACAGGTGAATACAGATATTGATTACAGACGAATCCTGACGACTATACAGTCTGCTTTATACAAGTTTCAATATTAACACAGCATTAAGTTTTCTATTTAAAAGATACTATTATATTAAATATAGCAGACCGCAAGGGAAATAACTAAATATTGATAAGATCGAGATATGTAACTTAGAAACAGTTCATATTGTAGACGTCGACAGTTGTATTTTGTTTACCTGTTCCTGCAAGAAGATGTAACCACAACAGCGTCCAAACTAGTTTATATTAAATTATTTGTTTTAAAACTGTTTAAGTTATTATTTTTACAAGGCATGATCTTATTCTCCGTTCTGGATGATAGTTACATGTAAATCGACATTCATTGGTCGATTTCAAAACATCTGATTTAATCTCATTCGTGAAATGATAGGTCAGACAGTCGCTGACGTACCACATTATTTATCCACGGGGACAAAAACGTTGGTGGCGCATTGCTAACATCAATTTGTATGTCTCGCCAAACATTGAAAGGTCAGTGTTTAGCCCTCTGTTCAAACAGCCATTGTTGGCCTGACGTTCCTGGAACAGAAACTCAATACGTACCCTCCATGTAGCATGCGTAATCATTAACATATACACACACGTAAACGACAAGCCTCCGAGCTGATGCAGCGAATTAGTGACTAGATCCCAGCTGGCCTCTACAAATATTGAAATATGGATCGAAGCATGCATCCTTTTCCGTAATAGGCACACCCGTTTTTCTTCTCAACCAATGGAGTAATATTTCCTCAACATTGTTTAACTTCCCCTTAAACCTGTATAAATTCAGGGAAAAGCGCTTCCTCAGCCTCTTCGCTTCTCTTTGAGATTTTAAGAGCTGTTCGGGAAAGTTGTCAAGATGAAGCTGATTGTCGTTGTTCTGTTGGCTGTCATCTGCTTTGGTGCGTCTTCTGCTTTTTACGGAGGCGGGGTCAGAAGGCAACCCACAAAGCCAAGCAAAGATTTGAAGGATGCTCTTTGGTGGATGAAAAAAGGAGATGATAATGACAATGGTAACACTGATGACAATGGTAACACTGATGACAATGGTAACACTGATGACGACGATGACGTGAATGGCAATGGAGACGTCGATAACAACAACGATGATACTGATGATACTAATGGTGGACATGTCAGTGGGGGCAAGCAAGGAGGAAGGCCTTCCGGTAGACAGAATGGGAAAGGAAACAAAGGTAACAATGGAAGAAACAACAATGGAAGAAGAAACAATGGAAGGAACAACGGAGGAAGGAACAACGGAAGGAACAATAATGGAAAAAGAAACAATGGAAAGAACAGCAACGGAGGAAGGAACAATGGAAAGAAGAATAATGGAGGAAGAAACAATGGAAGGAACAATGGAGGAAGAACTAATGGAAGGAACAGCAATGGAAGAAACAATGGAAAGAACAACAATGGAGGAAGAAACAATGGAAAGAACAATGGAGGAAGAAACAATGGGGGAAGAAACGATGGCCAACAGGGACAAAATTATTATGGAAGCGGTACTGACGGAAGAAACAACAACGACAAAACCACAGGTAGTTAAACACTACGTAACCTTTTGTACTGATTAAATACATGCCAATTTGGTTGGCATGTAATCGTGACAGACAATACGTCAATCATTACTAATGAAATGCTGACAAAGAGGAAATTATTATAGCTGTTGGTTTTATATTCTTTTGTTTTGGACTTTTATCCGATATTCGGTTTTAAGAAAATACCTCTGCTTGCTTTGAATTCTTAGTTGACATATTTAACATATCTAAGATGTTGAACATTTAACAAAAAAAGACAGATGCGTGTTATATTGTCCTTCAACCTTTGAAGGCGTCAGTAGATTTCGTTTCGATGTAAGAAAAACCGTTTCAATCAGGTGCACATGCTGAAGAGGTTTTTAAACTGGTTTGGAAAGATTATACACATGCAAGTAAGTGATATATGACAATATGCAGTGTTATATTAGTTGCGATATAATTTAATATTAATATTTCCTTCATTTAAAGTTGCTCGCACTACACCGACCACACCCGCTACCACCACTACTGCCTTCGGTAAGTAAAACTTGAATATTATCATCAATCAAATTTTTTCACACAAAATGTCATTTAAAAAAGAAGTTTGTGTTCACCAGTAGCAGTTAGTAAATATTTAGATGCCTCTGATGTGGTGTGTGTCTGTGTGTGTCTGTGTGTGTGTGTGTGTGTGTGTGTGTGTGTGTGTGTGTCTGTGTGTGTGTGTGTGTGTGTGTGTGTGTGTGTGTGTGTGTGTGTGTGTGTGTGTGTGTCTGTGTGTGCCTATTTTTGTTATATTTTACAATATAATTGCGTTTATGTTTATCGTTTCCAGTGTGATCCTATCAATGAGTAACGTTTTTCGCGAACACAATTGCTTATGATACAGCCGGAATGGTAGAATGGATTATGCCATAAGTAGCGCCTTCTTATAATTATGGAAAGGTTTTTTGTCACTTTGTATTTATTGGGACCTTTGACTGAGAAATAAGCTGTACTACAGCGTTTATATGTATCTCAAAGAAGTACCCTTTGCATATGATATTATCATATTATGAATTTCTCTGACACAGAATTTAATGTACATGTATGTGACAAAAAAGACATCGTCTTATCCGATTCGAGATAAGGATTAATTGAATTTTGCCAAATACTTTCTGAGATGCTACCTATGGCAACTTAAGATAATATACATTTCGTAAAGTATGTGAGTTTCTAAAGGTAGGTATGAATGTCCAACTTTAACGACTTGTGAAAAAGGATAGTTTGCAAATATTTGCAAAGGATGATTTTATGCAGGTTTGTGATTTCGTTTTTCGTTCTTACCCTTCTCCCTCTCACCGCAATGTAGACGTGTGTCGTGATTTGGCCGACAAGGGTTCCTGCGATTTCTACACCCACCCGCAGTGTCTACAGAGGGTACTCAACACATGCCGTCCTCTCCCCGTCCTCGCAGAGAAGATCTGCACACAGTCCGTTATCAGGGAGCCAGAGTTTGATGACGAGGTAAAATAAGCGTTATTGGGTCAAATGCCTCGACTTCAAACTGACCTTGTCACCTCAAGTATATTCACAGGTTGACAACGATTGCTGTCTGATCCAAGTTTGTCTTTTGTAAAAATAGTCCTTCGTACGATTTTCAGCGTCTCAGACATCGTTTTCCGAGAATGAGAGAGTGAGTTGGGTGTAAAGCCGCTTGTAACAGTATTTCAGTTACATCACGGCGTGTCAGAGGAAAAACCGAAGTGATGCAGGTCGCAAACGTTTACCACTTTGGGGAAACCGACGAGTACGGGTATGGTGCTCCAAACTAGAAACATAATCCGGACGAACCGGGTTTCGAACCCACGATCTTAGGTTTCTGGTTTCCCATGGTACGCAGCTCTGCACAGCGAATTTCGGGGCCTTAGACGACTAGGCCAACCATGTTCCCCTATCCGCGAATGAAATAAATATGTCAAACCATAGCAATTTAATCATTACGTTATATATCACTTCCGTTCTTAATATCATATGGCCTTATCACTTTGGCTATGAGATATGTATCAAAAGTTCATAATATATATATGCTTATTTGTGGCACATAAAAGAACCAGATGTTTATGTTAAAGCGAACGAGATATAAGTCTCACCTTTGACGACTGATATATACTATTAAAAAAATGTTTAAGAACACCCGCTTTCTTCATATCACAGTAGTTGATCTGTCTTGATGATGTTCTTTAACTTCTTTTGTGTAGTATATCTGTAGATATACCGCATCATGAATACAACTCTGTGTTTTTCCGCCAGGGTCTCAACTACATCGACAACGTGAGAAAGTGCACTATTAACAAGCTGCTTCCAGTTGTGGACTCTGATGATTGCGATGAGATCAACCAACTGGTCCTTAACGGCCACACCAAGAACCCTGGATGCCTGTTCCAGGACGGAGATTTCTGCAAAGTTGCTGCAGATGCCCAGAACTGCGAAGCCCTCTTCCACATTTTTGGTCTGAGCCACGCCGGCGAGCTTCAGTTCAAGTAAGATGACCGTCATTTTGACCTCCTTATTGTTTTTACTTCAAATCATAATGCAGGCTGTCGAAATGCCAAACAGTAAAACGGTAAGAACATGTTTTTGCCACGTCTTGTCATCCCATCTTTAGTACCCTATTATTCCACACCAAATATATAATAAGCATTATTATACCTTTCAAAATAAGCTAAGGAGCAAAGAAGCTACACGTCTCAGTTGATTGTTAGCGACATTATATCCAAACAATGAACAGCACTAGTGCCCAGTTAGACTTCTACATGTTTTTATTTTTTAAAATATAATTTGATTTAAAACTTTGAAAAATTAAAATAAATGCTGATTGGTATTGTAGACATCCTATCTATGACAAACAATAAATTTGCTTTTTTTCGGCACAAATTTACATTACACACATGACAGGAGTCATGTTGTTGCAAATACCTTTTGGGGGTTTTATGCCGATATTAGCACTATTTAGGCATCACTACTGCGGGGGACACTACAAATGGTCTTCATACTTTCGGTGTGATGACGAATTCTGTAACTACTAGACTACTAGGGGTGGTTAGGTAGCCTAGTGGTTAAAGCGTTCGCTCGTCACGCCGAGGCCCCGGGTTCGAATCCCGACATGGGTACAATGTGTGAAGCCCATTTCTGGTGTCCCCCGCCGAGATATTGCTGGAATATTGATAAAAGCGGCGTAAAACCAAACTCACTCACTCACCCACTCACTAGGCTACCCATCGTCTCTCATAACTGTGATATGATCTTATGTGGTAATCATGACAGGCTGTTCACGACCTTCAACTCGCTCATCGTGAACTGCGACAGCGACACCCAGACGACCTTCAACCTCAACTTTGCCCAGAAGTTCCTTGCTGAAAAGACAACCACCACATCGACAACAACCACCACAACCACCCCTATGATGAGGATGATGGGTGGATTCGGTGGTGACTAGATGGCCGTGTATTGGTCCGACGTCCGACAAGACGCTGGGATTGAACTAACGCGAATATCGACGGAATTGGGATACATGGTTGTGTAATCGTGTTTTTGAAACGGGAATAAAAAGTTGTATTTCATGAAAATAGGTTTCGTTACTTATTTATTGCTAAAAATACGGAATCTCTAATGTATTAGAAGTACCATTGCAAAAGAGGTTGCTCAGAAGCTGTTTCGTCAAGGTTACAACATTCAAGGCCTCAGTAAATCGTTCAAAACGTTTCCATGATGTCCGATGCAATCCCTATTTTGACTTGTACATGTACCATATGTTCGCGTGTTTTTTTAGCTGAACAATAGACATGCCTTTGCATGTGTTTGTGACGGGTGCCACCGTTGGGGCAGGACACGCTCACCTTTTCGCGAACACCTCGTATTATTACTATTTGATAGTGATTCAGACACATGCTCATGCTATAGTCGGACTCGTACAATCGACTCTGCTTTATGCAGAGATTTCTTTCGGATATGGAAAGGTTTTCCTGCCCCAACGGTGGCACCCGTCACAAACACATGCAAAGGCATGTTAATTGTTCATCTGGAAAAAAAACACGGGAACATATGGTACAAGTCAATATAGGGAATTGGATTGGACATAATTGTTGTCACTGATGCGTCAAACTTGGAAATGTCCTCCACATGTCTGCCATAAAACGTTTGGAAAGTTTTACTAAGACCTTGAATCCGGGGTAGAATAGGTCTTCAGCAACCCATGTTTGCCGTAAGAGGCGACTATGCTTGTCGTAAGAGGCGACTAACGGGATCGGGTGGTCAGGCTCGCTGACTTGGTTGATACATGTCATCGTATCCCGTATCGTATCGATGCTTATGATGTCAATCACTGGATTGTCTGGTCCAGACTCGATTATTTACAGACCGTCGTCATACAGCTGGAAAAACAACAATAAAGCAAACGAAAAAAGAAAAACAGTTTTAAAATATCTAACAGGTGAATGCAGATATTGATTATAGACGAATCCTGACGACTATTCCATCTGCTTTATACAAGTTTGAGTATTAACAAAGCATTAAGTTTTCTATCTAAAAGATATTATTATATTGAATTTAAAAAAAAGAAAAACAAAAAAAATATTATTATAATATTATTATTAGTAGTAGTAGTAGTAGTATTTACAGATTAAAATTTAAAAAATGCAGCAGAGAGGGTTTGGGTGATCCTGGAACAGTCAGGCTGGTTAGGCTCATCATCAGCCTCAGGGCCCTTGCCCCCTCTACACGCAGCCCAGACAGCGAATGGGACTTCTCCCAGGAATCGCTGTCTAGTCAAACCCACCCAGAACTTTCCGGAGAATGTGAAGACTCCCCAACACTGCAGCCTTCTGCATTACCCAGATTGTCAGAAGGGCTGTATTCCTGGTAGCAAACCAAGGTACTCTCCCGATGTCAGTCAACAGATTGGGAGGTACCAAACCTAAGGCACCGAGAACAATGGGGAGTCGGACAACTTGGTACTTGGGATGCAAGCGTGTGACATTTCGAAAGCGAGGTCTGCATACTGGCCATGTTTCTCTTCAATCTTGTCAATCACATTACTCTCAAAAGGGACAGAAATTTCAATGATATAAATGATTTCATTGGATTTATCAAAAAGGATAAGATCAGGTTTGTTGGCCTGGATATGTCTGAGGCTGTATACGGGCCTATTCCAAAGGATTTTGTATTGATCATTTTCCATGACGCCCTCTATATTATCCGTCGTACCATGGATGGACCTCTGTATCAAAACCACAAGCATGGCGAAGTCTGTAATAAAATGATCGAGCCACCCCATCATGTCGCTACTGTGTCTGTGCCAAAGCTGGACACCCACTCACAATGTGTTGGTCAGTCTCATTAAATTCATTACATAATCTACATTTCATATTCACATTTCGATGTAAAATCACACATTGACTGTTTCGAGTAGGAAGTGACTGGTCCTGAGCAGCAAACAGACTACTACTACTACTACTACTACTACTACTACTACTACTAGTAGTAGTGGAAGACACTGGTCCTGAGCAGCAAACAGATTACTACTACTACTACTACTACTACTAGTAGTAGTAGTGGAAGACACTGGTCCTGAGCAGCAAACAGATTACTACTACTACTACTACTACTACTAGTAGTAGTAGTAGTAGTAGTAGTATTTACAGATTAAGATATATAGAAGCTGCAAAGAGGGTTTTGATGATCCGTATTATGATTATTGATATTAGTGTCGTTATTCCCATGTTTAAAACATACAAAGCGCTCTACTCACACCAGGGGGAAATGTTTAAGGCGGACAAGTCGCCCAGCTCCCGGGGAATGCACACAGTGTCTTGCTAAGCAGACACACAGTGTATGTAGATTGCTGCCACTTACCGAGTGCCTGTGAGGTGTATAACATTAATCCTCCGTTAAAGTGCGCAGTGCGCGTGATCAGCCTCGTTCCCACATTGTGCCGAAAAAAGTCATTGACCTTCTAACTCTTGATTATACAAATAGCGTTGGGCGAAATCACTGGTAAATGTTGATGGGAATGTTTTCTTTTCCCGGCAAATACCGGCTTAAACATTACACACGAGAACGCCAGCTTATGACCCATACGTTAACGCTGTATGGGTTGGTCTAGATTTAGGTATTTGCTTAATTTTCCATTAATTAGTGAGAGGGATGAATCCAGATGTTAATGAATTCTGAATTATATAATTAAATCTGTGTTTAAAAATGCGCTCACGTTTCGTCATAGGTTTTAATTATGTTAAGTAAGATCTGGTGCTCATCATATCATCAACTGGTTTGTCTTTTGACTTGATTAATCACAGGCCGATGTGAAATACATCCGTCACTATTATCAATACGATCTGATATAACGCATTGTCACACGTTCTGAATTCTTCACCTCTAAGTGTGAATCTATTTTGTGGGATGAGTGAGTGAGTGAGTGAGTTGAGTTTAACGCCCCTCTTAACAGTATTTCAGTTGTTTCAGAGTGTGTCAGCTTAATCTGGGAGGAAAGCCGGATGTCTGGTATGAAAAAGTTACGGTAAAAGTACTTTTTTATAACTACCGGTTCTTCCAAATACCAGTCAATGGATTACAGGAAATATCTAGCGGTATATAGAGGATTATCTAGAGGATTAATTGTAAGACGTTAATCCTAATCTTAGTTAATTAGTATTGCCGAGCATTTCAACTCAGTTCACAAAAATGAAAGATTGTCACATCGTAATATATCTTTAGTTACACACAGACGTCACAACAGTTATCTGTTTTTACTTGTAGTTGGTGTCAGCTACAACCAGCACCGGCAAGGATGATGATGTAAATCCTGCCAGGGTGATGACGTAAATACTGCTGGGGTTATGATGTAAATCCTGCTACGGTGATGACGTAAATCCTGCTGGGGTTATGATGTAAATCCAGCAGGGGTTATCATGTAAATCCTTCTGGAGTGAGGATGTCAATGCTGCCAGGGTGATGACGTAAATCCTGCTGGGGTTATGATGTAAATCCTGCTACGGTGATGACGTAAATCCTGCTGGGGTCATGATGTAAATCCAGCAGGGGTTATGATGTAAATCTTTCTGGAGTGATGATGTAAATCCTGCAAGGATGATGATGTAAATACTGCAAGGATGATGATGTAAATCCTGCTGGTGTGATGATGTACATCATGTTAGGGCGATGATGTGAATCCAGCTGGGGTCATGATGCAAATCCTTCTGGAGTGATGATGTAAATCCTTTTGGAGTGATGATGTAAATCCTGCAAGGATGATGATGTAAATCCTGCTGGGGTCATGATGTAAATCCAGCAGGGGTTATGATGTAAATCTTTCTGGAGTGATGATGTAAATCCTGCAAGGATGATGATGTAAATACTGCAAGGATGATGATGTAAATCCTGCTGGTGTGATGATGTACATCCTGTTAGGGCGATGATGTAAATCCAGCTTGGGTCATGATGCAAATCCTTCTGGAGTGATGATGTAAATCCTGCAATAGCATCATGTAGGAAGCAGAGGTACTGTAAGTCCCCATGGTCTCCAGTAAGGCGGTTTAGCTTCAGTTCTGGTGGTCTCTAGCTCCGTATTTCAATAGGAGAAAGTGAAATCATTATAAACATGTTGACTTGAATGCTTCATTATTTGACATGGTCTACATTTTCATCTATCGTGCTAACACTTTACTGTTCTTTGTGACAGGTATGTATCAAAAGGACTGTTATCGTCACGGTATGGTTGAGGTACTGCTGATATGACGGACGATAAATGTTAACTCACTCACGCAAAACAGTTATCGTAGTTCGGATTACCGAGGTTTCGCTATACCGAGGAAAGTCATTATCCATAACAGTTGTTATTGAAGAGAAATAATTGAATAATATCTCTGTTTATCAAAATCCGTATGTCTTTTTCATTTGGATTTGAGAGTTACGATATATTTTTCCTTCTTTGATTAATCTGATTTCCAGCGTGATGCATGTTTTTAAAATTATTTTATTTAGGTGCCAATGTTCCCTTTAACGCATTGTGGGGCGGCGAGATCGCTAAGTTCATAAAACGTTCGCTCGTCACGCCGAAGACGCGGGTTCGATTCCTCACACGGGTACAATATGTGCAGCCTATTTAATATGGTGTCCCCCTCCTTGATATTGCTAGAATATTGCCCAAAGCATCTTAAAACTATGGTGCACTAAAATGCATTGCACATGACGTCTTCTTTTATTTTTCTGAATGCCACTTGTCTTCATCTATCTCGGACCTCGCACATTTCTTCATATTAATGAATCGTATTACCACAACATCATTCGAATGTATGGTACTCTGAATACATAAAAATGTTTCAGAAAGCTGTTCACTTCTTGCAACCAACGCATCCCACAGCTGTGAAACGCCCACCGCTTTGGGATTTACATCCTTACCTTATTAGGCAATCCAGTTAGCAAGAGCTTCATGCTAGAAGGTTATAGTTTCATCTTCCTCAGGAGGTGACACATGAATCTTGCAGAATTCAGCTGTTTTTTTCTCTCAAACGGACCATGAGGGTATGACCAAAGGAGATCCCGCAACCATAGCATGCAGAATGAACCAGGTAGGTCAAGACACTGACAGTAGGACAGTGTACATGCGATGCGTGCTTTTGTATTTAGTCATTAGCAGGTAATTACCGTAGTTCAACAGGCACGACGGTGGTATCCACGACCTGTTAATTGCTTGAAAAAATTTGAAAATGTTTGGTTGCTTGAAATGTCAACTCAGTCTTGTTACACATATGTTGTAACATACCCTTGTTTTCTCGTACTCAAGACGTCAATAGATCTTTTAAAGTGATAATACCTGTCACACATGGTTGAAATGCTACAGATGCTGGGAGACGTACCTCCTTCATTGCAGATGGTGAAAAGGTTTGTGACACTAAAAACACCACCGAGGGATGATTAAATCGCATTAGACGCCGGTAATCGCCAATTAATTTCTACATTCCCTACAGTTTGTATTGATAAAAGTATATTGACGTGTTTAGCCCGAAATTCAGAATTATTTCCTGATTTTGTTTCAAATGTTCTGGCTTTCGAAATAAAGGCAGTTGAACCTTGCAGTGGAACCATGAAGTAGGGTCCATCGTTCCAAATGTAGCACTAAAATTAGGGATATGGTGATTTGACAATCTCATTAAAGTCAGATCTTAGTTCTTGCCACAGCTAAACAAAGATCTTTGGACATCCCACGTCAGACCGACCTTGGGCGAACTTTGACCGAGCAATGGAATGAGCAATTAGAAGGCAGCTTTCTCGTGCTTTAAGGCACTAATTTCAAATTGGCGACTACGCTTCGAAACATATTTTCACATATTCTCGATTACAAATTTGTAACCTGAACAAAAGAACATCCTGGAATGGCTCATAGATGGTCTAGATTGTATGGATTCAGTCGTTAAACCCGTAACTATCGTTCGGAGTTAAAGTTTTCGAGGTTGCATGATTAGAAATCACATTCCGACTGTCACTTTCATAATCTGGTGAGCGATGCTCAGATTGGTCGGATAAAAGGTCGTTCTGACGTGACCCCTAATGAGATGTCTTCAGATCTTTGCTTAGTGGTAGCGAGATCTGAGATCTGATTTTAATGAGATTGGGTGATTAGAGTGTGTAACCTTGCTGATGGTATGTCATTGTACCCGATGGTTTGGATCTTGCTTTTACTACATAATAATATGGCGAAAAAAACAAAAGGTGAGGGTTGTGAGTGAGTGAGTGAGTACGGTTTTACGCCGCTTTTAGCAATATTCCAGCAATATCACGGCGGGGGACACCAGAAATGGGCTTCACACATTGTACCCATGTCGGGATTCGAACCCGGGTCTTCGGCGTGACGAGCGAATGATTTAACCACTTGGCCACCCGACTGCCCCGTGAGGGTTGTGTATATGTAGTCGTCGCTGCCAAAATGGTCACCACTGGATCAGTCATCACTGAATCAGTAGTCACCACTGTATGAATAGTCACCACTGAATAAGTACTCGTTATTGTAGTCTTCACTGCATCACTCGCCATCGCTGCATCACTGTATAAATGGTCATCATTGAATCAGTACTCATTATTGCATCTGTAGTCTTCACTGCATCACAAGTCATGAAAACGGTGTCCAAGGAGAAAGGACGTATGTATGTAATTGTGTTGATTTTTTCAAAGCTTTGGATTCAGTACAATACTTTCTTTTGTATTATGTATTATTTAAAAATGGTATATCAGGTAAAGTAGAAAATGTGTTGACGGCAATGTATTCGCAGCTACGTTCTTGTGTAAATACAAGTCATGGTTTCTGTGATTTCTTTGAATGCAGTTGTATGGTAATCCCTACATTATTTATTTTGTTTTTAAATGATTTTATTGAAATGATCAAACAGTCTGACTGCAGATGTATATATGTTGGTAATCTTGCATGCAATCACAATCTCACAGAAAGTGTTTATGTCATGAAATGTATATCCTACTGGACAAAATTGTTTTCCATGCCATAGGTACCCTAGAATTTGCCAAAATGTAGATTTTACTTGATAATGCCGGAAGGCAAAAATGGGTCAAATTTGTTGGAAATGTTTTGTTTGAACGTGGGATTTGAGTCGTATGGGGGTGTAGGAAACCCGCAAATATTTATAGTTTCTTTTTCTTAACGATTGGAAGATGTATCGCTTAGAAATTGGCTATATAGTCTCATGGGGAAAATGAACCTAAGACTTTATGAAATATGTAAATATATTTGTTGCAATCAGAACAGCATCTAGTTCATATTACGAAACGCTTCAGTAAATTCCGTTTTGAAAATCATAATTAACGTATTGCGTCTGGACGATGGGAAAATATGTTGTCCGAAGATTATGTTTATATTATAAACATGTTTGTTTAAAGGAAATTATCGAAGATGAAGAACATTTTCTGTTGACCTTTGTATGAGATTTTGAGGAGGCAGTGTTCTAACATTATATAGCCGAGGCACTAAGCAACAGACGCACATACGTCACCGAATATGTAGTCGTGATCGCATCGGTAGCTCTGTATACGTTTTCATCCACCAGTAGTCATCACTGTATTAGAAACCACTACTGCAGTTGTGTAAACCTGATATACCAACTACCCATTCATGTCGTATAATTTGGATACACTAAACTATGGTTATAACGAACTCAATGGGACTTCTAATTTCAGTTAGTTATAACCGTAGTTCGTTATAAGCATATATACAACATAACTACAGCAAATAGTCGGGACCAAAAAAAATAGTTCGTTATATCCGTCAGTTCGTTATAAGCGTGTTCGTTATAACCGTAGTTTACTGTACCGTCAAGATATTGGAATGGAACATCACCTGTATCGACAATTATTGTTGACCTTTCCAAAAAAATATTGCCATACATCATTAATATATAAGCAATCGAGGATAGCAGTACACTATCTATAAAGTGTTTATTGGTTCTTAAATATAAGTATAACGTGTAAAACCTGCAGCTGCATGATGTCATAGAGCATCACTATGGTTATAAAGAACTCAATGGGACTTCTAATTTCAGTTAGTTATAACCGTAGTTCGTTATATATATATATATATATATATATATATATATAGCATAGCATATATACAGCAAGTGGCCAGGACCCATAAAAGCCAGTTCGTTTACCGTCAGTTCGTTATAAGCGTGTTCGTTATAAACGTAGTTTACTGTAATTGTGCCCAGGTTCGAATATTTACAGCCCCCCGTGAGCTAGCTATGATACGAAATAGGTCGCTTGTGCCTGACACATGTAATGTCACAATGAAATATGTGTAAATCAAGCTGTAATAGAGCTGGCTGCGACTTCAAGACCCACTCCCCCTAACACACATCACATAGGGTGTCCGCTGTAACAAGGTCATCCTGTAAGGACGCTCGGTGTATTCCTGAGGTACACACGCCTATTTCAAAGTGCACATTTCACCTGGTGCAATGTGTTGGATCTTTTAAAAAACCATCCACGAAAGTTCATTTTCAATGGAAATACCACCCATACATGTACCAAATGCATGTGTTCTTAAAAAGTATTTACAGTAAACTACGGTTAGAATAAACTCAAAGGGACTACTAATTTTAGTTCGTTATAACCGTAGTTCGTTATAAGCATATATACAACATAACTACAGCAAATAGTCGGGACCAAAAAAAAAGTTCGTTATATCCGTCAGTTCGTTATAAGCGTGTTCGTTATAACCGTAGTTTACTGTACTGTCAAGATATTGAAATGGAACATCACCTGTATCGACAATTATTGTTGACCTTTCCACAAAAATATTGCCATACATCATTAATATATAAGCAATCGAGGATAGCAGTACACTATCTATATATTGGTTCTCAAATATAGGTATAACGTGTAAAACCTGCAGCTGCATGATGTCATAGAGCATTATTTCTTCAACAAGGAAGAGGTCCCGAATGACACACCTAGGAGAGCGTGTCACCAAACATTGAAAGGTCGTCGGTTAGCACCCTCAGTAAATAATTATTACCAAGCATTAGCCATTCTTGGAGTGATTAACGCGCTTTTCGACATGTCACCCACACAGTATTTAACAGAGGCACACAAAACAAAAACGTGCACACACAGAGAGAGAGACGAAAGTCCTCTTTTCGGGTGCAATAAAAGTGTAACATGCCACCTTTTACTGGCTCTGGCAAAGTAAACGAGCATCAAAATGACATTCTATTCTGTGAGTAACACCCCAGCGATAATCCGTCCAATCGCGTAATTTTTCTATAAACGTTCTCTTTGGTTGGCCCTCCCTTCTGCACAGTATAAATTGGGAGCACAGGACTCCACTGCGACTTTCAACAGGTATCAGCGGACCTGTTAGGAAATAGGCCTCCATCATGAGATTACCGTTACTTCTAGTACTTGTGGTCTTCAGCGTCGGAGTGTCGTGTGGCTACAATGGCAGGCGGCAGCCCAAAAATGGCCAAAAAGGCCAAGATCATGGAAGCACTTGCGACTGTGGTTGTAATGCAGGAGGCACCACTGGCGGCAAGGGTACTGGTGTGACCAACGGCGGAACCAACGGTAGAAGCGGCGGGGGGAACACCGGTTCAGGAAGTAACTACGGTAATGGTGGCGACTCTGGAAACGGTGGATACCCTGGGGGAAGCAACAACGGAGGAAGACCCGGTTCCAACAATGGTGGATACCCATCTGGAGGAAGAAGACCCGGTACCAACAATGGGGGAAGACCCGGTAGCAACACCGGAGGAAGCCCCGGTAGCAACAATGGAGGAAGACCCGGTACCAACAATGGAGGAAGACCCGGTACCAACAATGGAGGAAGACCCGGTACCAACACTGGTGGATACCCAAGTGGAGGAAGAAGCCCCGGTAGCAACAATGGAGGAAGACCCGGTACCAACAATGGAGGAAGACCCGGTACCAAAAATGGAGGAAGACCCGGTACCAACACTGGTGGATACCCAAGTGGAGGAAGAAGCCCCGGTAGCAACAATGGAGGAAGCCCCGGTACCAACAATGGAGGAAGACCCGGTACCAACAATGGAGGAAGACCCGGTACCAACAATGGAGGAAGACCCGGTACCAATACTGGTGGATACCCAAGTGGAGGAAGAAGACCCGGTACCAACACCGGAGGAAGCCCCGGTAGCAACAATGGAGAAAGACCCGGTAGCAACAATGGAGGAAGACCCGGTACCAACAATGGAGGAAGACCCGGCACCAACAATGGAGGAAGACCCGGTACCAACACTGGTGGATACCCAAGTGGAGGAAGAAGCCCCGGTAGCAACAATGGAGGAAGCCCCGGTACCAACAATGGAGGAAGACCCGGTACCAACAATGGAGGAAGACCCGGTACCAACAATGGAGGAAGACCCGGTACCAACACTGGTGGATACCCAAGTGGAGGAAGAAGACCCGGTACCAACACCGGAGGAAGCCCCGGTAGCAACAATGGAGGAAGACCCGGTACCAACAATGGAGGAAGACCCGGAACCAACACTGGAGGTAACAGAGGAGGAAGCGGGACCAATAGCGGAATTGACTTTGGTAAGTCGATGTACAATTATCAAACAGCATACAGTTGTACTTATCACACCCAGATATATATTTGAAACAAGGTGGCACGGGTGGCCCAGCCGCTTAAGGCGCCGCAATACGCTGTGCAGAGTTGCGTTCCTCTATTGGGCACAACAGACACCTATGATCGTGGGTTCGAATCCTGGTTCGTCCCGAAAATGTTTCCAGGTTTGTCATACCCGTGCTTGTGGGTTTCACCAAAGTGGTAAACGTCTGAAACCTGCATCACTTATTGTTTTCCTTCCACATCAGACTGACAGGCCGTGATATAACTTGACTACCGTTCAAAGCGGCGTAAAACCTAACTCACTCACTCACTATTTGATATAATGTTCCGCTACTTCCAGCATTGTGCTCTCAGTTGGCTGACGAAGGTTCCTGTGACTTCTTCACTGACCCCTCTTGTTTCCAAGCAACCCTCAACACATGCCGCGTGTCTCCTGTATGGGTCATGCAGATCTGTCAATTGTCTGTGGTAGTTGATGGCTCTTTCAACAGTGTGGTAAGGTGCTAGCTGCAACAATTACTTTGTACAGTTGCGTGTCCACGACTTACAACTTAGGTTATAATCATTTGTTTTCTGGGGCTATTGGGTAGCCTAGTGGTTAAAGCGTTCGCCCGTCATGCCGAAGGCCCGGGTTCGATTCCCCACATGGGTATAATGTGTGAAACCCATTGCTAGTGTCCCCTGTCGTGGTATTGCTGGAATTTTGATAAAAGGGGCGTAAAGCCATACACTTCATACAGATTCCTGTCGGTGCCCTTCACTTATTGTAAAAGTGTGCATGCTTTGGAGAAATACGTACTAGTAGTGGACTGTGATTGATTTGGTAATGCTCTTTTTAAGTTCGTATGATAGTACAATGAAATGAATTTTAAAGATTCATTTTCCTCTGTCCCTTGTGGTGTGAGGCCAAATGAGGGCCATCTTATGTATAGGGGTGGTCGGGTAGCCTAGTGGTTAAAGCGTTCGCTCGTCACGCTGAAGACCCGGGTTCGATTCCCGACATGGGTACAATGTGTGAATCCCATTTCTGGTGTCCCCCGCCGTGATATTGCTGGAATATTGCTAAAAGCGGCGTAAAACCAAACTCACTCACTCACTTATGTATAAGAGCTATTACTACTACAGGATATGAAACGCAATACGTATCTCTAGGATCATAAAGTTTGTTCTCATTGTAGCAGAATATCCGCTAAAATAATTTGTTTCACTCATATGTAGGGCAAGGAGTACATGGAACAAGTGAGAAAATGTATGACTAAAGGCACTTTGCCGGCTCTGGAGAACGTTGCCTCTGTGAAGGACTCCTGCGGGAACACGGTAAAAACGGTTGAAAACACTGTCTTTGGAAGTGACAGCTGCATTGATCAGGCTAACTTCTGTGATGCAATGTCGGACGCCGCAAACGCAAAGAATATCATCTACAGTTTCAGTCTGGCTCACGACAGTGACTTCCAGGAACGGTAAGTGAGTCAGTGAATGTTGTGTAACGCTGCTTTCGGCTGTATCTTTACGCCCAGATCTAACATGAAACGGAAGAGGCGGACTTCGCTGGTCTCCTATTTCTAGTTCAGGCGGGTGAATCAGTAGAAGGGAATTGGCCCCGCCCAGCCCCATGGGAGTTTTGAAAGTCATGATATTTACAATTGTATGTTACGTAATGCAGAACTTATGTTTTTTTGCTTATTCTCATTACAATATGGGGCGGTCGGGTAGCCTAGTGGTTAAAACGTTCGCTCGTCACGCCGAAGACCCGGGTTCGATTCCCGACATGGGTACAACGTGTGAAGAACATTTCTGGTGTCCCCGCCGTGATATTGCTGGAATATTGCTAAAAGCGGCGTAACACCAAACTCACTCATTCACTCTCATTACAATATAGCTGTCAATACATTTTGGCCAGAAAGTGCGTCAGAAAACCACGACGCGACGGGCTTGTTTTCAAGTGTCAGGGAAACAGAGAGCTTGAAATTTGCTGCCTCTCTACAATGAGTATTGTGTGATGTGATAAGAGCTTCATTTTCTTGGAGGGAAGTCCACGGTCCACTTTATTTCTGGAGACCGCCTCCGTGGTCTAGTGGTAGAGCGTCCGCCCGGAGAGCGGAAGGTCCGGGGTTCGATCCCCGACCGCGTCATATTGCACTTTTATTGCACCCTAAAAGAAGATTTTCGTTTCTCTGTGTGTGCACATGTTTTTGCATGTGTGCCTCTGTTAAATACTACTTGGGTGAGATGTCGAAAAGCGCGTTAATTACTCCAAGGGTACCTGATGCTTGGTTATACTTATTTACTGAGGGTGCTAACCGATGACATTTCAATGTTTCTGGTAAGAAGCTCTCCCAGGTGAACCGCCTCCGTGGTCTAGTGGTAGAACGTCCGCCCAGAGAGCGGAAGGTACGGGGTTCGATCCCCGGCCGCGTCATACCAAAAGACGTTTAAAGATGGTACTTGTTTTTACCCTGTCTGGCGCTCGGCATTAAGGGGCTAAAACAAGGACTGGTCGGCTCGGAGTCAGTATACTGTGTCTGAGTGGGGTATTCATGTTAAACTGCGGCATGGTATCTCGGTGTGCTAGCACTATAAATCCGGACTAGTACAAGCAGACACACACACACACACACGTACATGCACGTGCAATAATCTTGGACGCGACGTTAAACCCCATTTCACCTCACTTTATTTCTGCTTAAGAAGTAGCTGTGCTACACACTGTCAGTGACTAGTATTAATGATGCATTATTTTTGTATTAAGAATTATATATCATATATTAATATTAAACATATTTGTTGAAACGCTCTCATGGGTTCGATTCGAGTTGACAACCTACTCCAAAAAGTATTTCATTCAATGTTTCATAATTCAAAAGATACACAGAGAGTAATTTTACATGTTAGAATGGCCGCATGTTCTGTTCCAAATTTAATTTTGCTCCGTCAATATATAAATAGACAAGCTTGTTCAAGCTATAGTACAATATGAATAGTAATAGAAATAGTAGTCATATTAATTGTTACAGATTTTGAATCTTGTGAGATTTTGTAAGGAATCTAGATATATTTTCATCTACAGCTATATATTTATTTCAAATACATGTATTTATTGTGGCAGACAATATTTTTTTCTCTTACTTACTTTTTTAACCATTTTCTGGGACACCTTTTTTTTCGATAAAATACCAGATAAATATCAGTGAGTCATCATTATTTAAATACGGGTAAATATTTTTAAAGCTTGTACATTTTATCAACATCCTGAACGAGGCTGTACTTAATGTTCATATCTAATATAAGAAATAAACAACACGTGGTCGTCGGCTCACTTCCGGCTCGTCGTTTATTTCGGAAAATAGACCAACTTTCAATTCAATTCCAGCCTTCTGGATGTATTCAATGGGCTCCTCAATTCATGCGGCGGTGACGCCAGGGCTGTTTTTGAAGCTGCAATCAATAGTGGAGGTGGAGATGGTGGCAACGGTGGAAGCGGTGGCAACGGAGGGGGACGTGGTGGAACTGGAAGTGGAAGTGGACGAGGCGGGAGAGGTGGCAGTGGAAACACTGGAGGACGCGGTGGTAGCGGAAGTAGCAACGGTAGAGGTGGAAGTAGTGGGAATGGTGGAACTGGGCAGGGCGGTAATAGAGGAGGAAGTGGGGGTAGTACAGGGGGAACTGGAGGCTATGGCGGAGGAAATGGAGGACGTGGTGGAACTGGAACAGGAAATGGGCGTGGTGGTGGCCGTGGAAGTGGAACAGGAACTGGAGGCTATGGCGGAGGAAATGGAGGACGCGGTGGAACTGGAACAGGAAATGGTCGTGGTGGTGGCCGTGGAAGTGGAACAGGAACTGGAGGCTATGGCGGAGGAAATGGGCGTGGCGGTAGCGGTGGAAGCAAAGGAGGACGCGGTGGAAGCGGAACAGGAACTGGGCAGGGCGGTAATAAAGGAGGAAGTGGGGGTAGTACTGGAGGAAACGGAGGCTATGCCGGAGGAAATGGGCGTGGCGGTGGAAGTGGAAGCAATGGAGGACGCGGTGGTGGCGGAGACAATGGAGGACGCGGTGGAAGCGGAACAGGAAATGGGCAGGGCGGTAATAGAGGAGGAACTGGGGGTAGTACTGGAGGAAACGGAGGCTATGGCGGAGGAAATGGGCGTGGCGGTAGCGGTGGAAGTGGAAGCAATGGAGGACGCGATGGAAGCGGAACAGGAACTGGGCGGGGCGGTAATAAAGGAGGAACTGGGGGTAGTACTGGAGGAAACGGAGGCTATGGCGGAGGAAATGGGCGTGGCGGTAGCGGTGGAAGTGGAAGCAATGGAGGACGCGATGGAAGCGGAACAGGAACTGGGCAGGGCGGTAATAAAGGAGGAACTAGGGGTAGTACTGGAGGAAACGGAGGCTATGGCGGAGGAAATGGGCGTGGCGGTAGCGGTGGAAGTGGAAGCAATGGAGGACGCGATGGAAGCGGAACAGGAACTGGGCAGGGCGGTAATAGAGGAGGAAGCGGTGGAAGTACAGGAGGAAATGGGGGCTATGGCGGAGGAAATGGACGTGGTGGTAGCGGTGGAAATGGAAACAATGGAGGACGTGGTGGAACTGGAACAGGAAATGGTGGAACAGGAACTGGAGGCTATGGCGGAGGAAATGGAGGACGCGGTGGAACTGGAACAGGAAATGGGCGTGGTGGTGGCCGTGGAAGTGGAACAGGAACTGGAGGCTATGGCGGAGGAAATGGAGGACGCGGTGGAACTGGAACAGGAAATGGGCGTGGTGGTGGCCGTGGAAGTGGAACAGGAACTGGAGGCTATGGCGGAGGAAATGGAGGACGCGGTGGAACTGGAACAGGAAATGGTCGTGGTGGTGGCCGTGGAAGTGGAACAGGAACTGGAGGCTATGGCGGAGGAAATGGAGGACGCGGTGGAACTGGAACAGGAACAGGAAATGGTCGTGGTGGTGGCCGTGGAAGTGGAACAGGAACTGGAGGCTATGGCGGAGGAAATGGAGGACGCGGTGGAAATGGACGTGGCGGCAGCGGTGGAAGTGGAACAGGAAATGGTGGAACTGGGAGGGGTGGTAATAGAGGAGGAAGTGGCGGTAGTACAGGAGGAAATGGAGGCTATGGCGGAAAAAATGGAGGCCGCGGAGGAAGTGGAACTGGAAATGGTGGTTCTGGAGGTGGACGTGGCGGTAGCGGCGGAGACAGAAGTAAGTGAAATCAATGATTATGTCTTTTAAGTAATATATCAGCAATATCGCCCAGGGGACGCCAATAAAGGATACCAATATCACATATCAATATCTAGATGCAAACCTAGCCGTCAGTCTGTCGAGCGATTGTGCATACCACCATGTTACCTAAACGCCCTGAACGATTCCAAAACACGCATAGGATTATTTTAATATTTAACATCTATCCATGTATGTGAAAAGGTTTGGTTACTTTCAGCTTGCTCTCAAATGGTTGAGGAGGGATCCTGTGACTTCTACACTGACCCCTTTTGCTTCCAAACAACCCTCAACACATGTCGTGTTTCTCCTGTGTGGGTTATGCAGATTTGCCAGCAGTCCACTGTCATCGGAAATGCTTTTACTGGTGTAGTAAGTTACATGGAGGATTCATCATGTTCTTATTCAGTTTCAAAGAGTTTGTCAAAACTCTCCCAGAATGTTCATTTTACATGAGCATCTTCGTGTCCCAATTGTCTATAAGGGATGTTATGAACCTATCCAGCTCAAAGCACCAACATCGATATTTGCTTCTGAAATTCAAAATCCTACTACCCTTACCGTGTGGCATACTGAAAAGATTGTTGATCTAGTTGTGGTACTCTTCAAAAGGAAGCATCTTTACATCGCCAGGCTCTGACACAATGTATGACGTCAATGCTTCTGTTATAACGCAACTCACCAGCTCAGCTGAATGTGGAAATAAAAACTAAATCGAACATGTTCTACTAAATATTGATATCTAATTAACATTCGCCAAGCCGAATTGCAAATGTTTTAAGTTTGGGATTGAGAATAAAAAGACAATTATCAAATAATTTCATTTAATCACGGTTTTTTTTCAACTGATCAGGTTGCAGCACAAGCATCCAATCTTTTTACAAATATCTTTGAGCTAAGTGTGTAACATTATTCCCACTTGTTTCTGTGTTCACATCTGGTCAAGCACATAATTTTAAGAAACCTTGTCCAACAAACCCTTCCCTAAATAACCAGCTAGACTATATGAGTACTTTAAAGTTCTCCTGTTCATGGAAGAGGAACTCTACAAATACTATTTCTTTACAAAATGTTCAGCCATCTTGTTCCAGAATTGACAGCTTATAAAAAATCTAGGCATTGTATTGTAATTGTAAAATATCAATTAACTTAAAGACCATTACAAATGACTTCTTAGTTCCTACATCCAGAACAATACTCTCTGGTTTAGCCATGTTTCCTGATTTTCGACAGGCTGCTGACTATATGTTCCAAGTCAGGAAGTGCATGACAGGAAGACTACTGCCAACTCTGGAGAACCCCGTCTGTAGCAACGTGGTAGACCTAGCTGAAGGCAGTCTCACCGACCCCGACGGCTGCATCGGCCAAGATGACTTCTGTACCGTAATGTCTAATGCTAAGGACGCAAGGAACCTCTATCTTATTTTCGGTCTTCCTCATCCAAGTGACTTCCAGGCACGGTAAGATGAACATAGCGTCTAACCAATATTGTCACTCATGGAAATAAATGCGTGAAGACCCTTCCATTATCATAACAAATCGGTGCTCGTCCAGTGTATGACTCCGACTATATGACACGCATGTGTTTTACAGAAATCCAAAGTATACATGTATTCTGCTTCATTGCATTGTGAATCAGTTAGTCATGTCGGTATTTCTCGTACTATTTCTGTGGCAACACACACAGTTTGGTAATTGAAATAAACCAAGCACGAAATACTATTGCTGAGTAGATTTCCTGACCCATGAAGGATATTTTCAGTTGGAAATCATAATTCACATATTTATATATATTTGTATATGTTTTGTTAGCTGCTTTTTGCTTCGTTTATAATTATCGCCATGTTCTATCCGATTTCAGACTTTTGGAGGTATTCAATAACCTTATCAGAAACTGCGATAGTGCTGCTCAGGACAATTATGACAATTTAGTCAACCCGGGCAGTGGGTCTGGAGGAAACAATGGAGGAGGGCGTGGCAACGGAGGAAACAATGGAGGAGGGCGTGGCAGCGGAGGAAACAATGGAGGAAATCGTGGCAGCGGAGGAAACAATGGAGGAGGGCGCGGCAGCGGAGGGAACAATGGAGGAGGGCGTGGCAACGGAGGAAACAATGGAGGAAATCGTGTCAACGGAGGAAACAATGGAGGAGGCCGTGGCAGCGGAGGGGGGCATGGCACCGGAGGACGCAATGGAGGAGGGCGTGGCAACGGAGGAACCAGTGGAGGAGGGCGTGGCAGTGGTGGATCCCGAACCACCACGATGATGATGATGATGGGGGGAGCAGGAGGCGACTAGACAATTCCCCGAATCGTGATAAAGACATTTACCCTTTGAATATCATTTACTCCCATGACATTACATGATGCTTGATTGTTCTCCAGATGCTCAAAAATCACCATTAATGATCCGGTGCTATATGAAAAAAAACTTTCAAAGATCTCGTTATTCTCATGGTTGGAAGTTTGTAAACAATTACCATAACACTTAGATACACTTTCATTCATTCTTTTTAAAACACACATTCCATGTTATCTGTTGCACAGTGTAACTTGTGCTGAAGGAAAATCACTGGTTATATTCAATAACGAGTTCAAGTATCATTCTTGTCATCTTATGTGCCTGTATATATATATATATAACAAAGCAATAAACATTTGACTATGAAATAGTTATTCGGGTACTTTATAACCTACACCTGGAGTGATGAACCCAAACCATCTCCACGTGATATTCTTGGGAATACATAAATATGGATAAGTCGACTAGCGTTGCGATGGATAAGCCGACTAGCGTTGAGAAAGATAAGTCGAATAGCGTTGACATGGATAAGTCGACCAGCGTTGCGATGGATAAGCTGACTAGCGTTGAGAAAGATAAGTCGAATAGCGTTGACATGGATAAGTCGACTAGCGTTGCGATGGATAAGCCGACTAGCGTTGAGAAAGATAAGTCGAATAGCGTTGACATGGATAAGTCGACCAGCGTTGCGATGGATAAGCTGACTAGCGTTGAGAAAGATAAGTCGAATAGCGTTGACATGGATAAGTCGACTAGCGTTGCGATGGATAAGCTGACTAGCGTTGAGAAAGATAAGTCGACCAGCGTTGAGTAAAAGGTATCCTTGGTTTCTCTGTCGTTGATTAAAAGATCACTGTCACACCACTGGTTAAATTGAATAATCAACATTTATCTTCAGTGGGTGTACATGTATGTAGTATGTGTGGTGTTTAACACCGCAATAGCAGTAAATAATGGAGTTTGACAATCCAGTGATTTATGTGATGATCAACGATCCACGCGGTTGGTGGACGATGGCTGGCAATCAACCAAGTTACCAAGCCTGACCACCTGACCCATTAAGTGGACTCGTACGACCAGCATAGGTTGGTACGGTAGATGGATGCATGTGTGCAGATGGATGCATGAACCTTAGACTGGCGAAAAGTGTAGACACTGCTAATGCATAACACTGATTGAGAGGGGAAGGATTCACTGTCCACGGCAACAGTGATCAGTGCACTCATAAGCTTACATACAGCATATTTGAAATGTTGGTTTGAAGACAAGATACGGTCCATTTAAGGTGGAGAACACAATTTAACAGAAGGGAAAAAACCTACAAGTATTAGGTATTGTTAGTTTGTGTTAACAGTAACACATCTTCATATCAGTTTATTTGGTTCTCAACAGACAGTGAATGTGACAAATTGGTGCTTTATTATGTAGTCAACAAATTGTCTTGAGAGAAAGTAAAATATAAGCGACAAAAACATTTCCATAATCATAAGATGTATTAGGTGATAGCACACTTCACTGGAGTAACATAACATGCTACATGTATTTGAATTGAGTGAAATAATATGCCAGACCTATATTCAGTCCGCCTCATTAATACTGTGGTCTTCAGAGTAAGATCCGGCCGCAATGAAATTACATAGTAACTAAAATTTGTATTTTCTTGTCAAAAAAAATGTAAATCTCACCCAGTGACCTGCCAGTTGATGTGGATAAATTCACATGTGGCTGTGTCAACCATTGGCAGATCACAGGCTGTGATTATAATTTCAAGATTAACAACTTTCCTCGTGCTAAGTATGTTATAACGATATACATGCTATTATCTCATGTATACGTGGGGGGAAGGGGGGGGCGGTTTAAGGAGAAAAGTTCTGAGTCTCACTATATATATAGCTATGTAGGATGTATAGTACATCCATAACAGTTTGCATGGATTAAGTACAGTGAAGTCCAGTACATGTACAATACTGTCCATGCTTACTGGCTGCATATGGACCAAATACACAACCAGGCAGCATCTTACACCAGGCATCAAAATAACTAGTCATTCTCTGTTGATGGAAAAGGTACAAAATTGACTACTGTGCTGTCACCAAGTATCTCCAACATCCATGCATGCGGACATGGTGGGACTTTTAGGGGTTTAGGGGATTATGCTCCTGGCACTTTTAAGAGGTAGGCAGCCGTGTTCAAGAGGGGAAGAGAGCCTCGATGATGATTAAATATCAGGAAGACGTTCAACTGCCACCACCAAGGAAATGTTGATAAAAAAACGTGATATGATTATGGATGATCGACGAATCACCACGCGTCACATAGCCAAATCAGTAGGCATCTCTCATAGGAGAGTTGAGAACATTCTGAGGAATGAAATGATCGAAGGTTTTACCACGCTGCTTTCAAAGGCTTCTGACTCCTGCTCAGAAACATTCCTCTCGTGAGCACTTACGTCGATTTACGTCGTTTTGACTCAACTGATTCTGTTGAGCGATTTGCAACCATGATGAGTACTGAGTTCTGCCACAGACTAAACAATAATCAAAGCAGTGGACACATCTTACAGAAGACCGTACGGTCTGTTCATTCGGCTGCATGGTGATTGCTTGAAAGTTTTTGGATTCTGAAGGAATCCTACTGTTAGACTACCACCCCCCCACCCCCACCCCACCCCCCGGCCCCACCCCACAACCCACACCCCGCCCCCACACCCCGCACCCCACACCCACACCCCACCCCGAAAAATCAAACGACCAGTGCTAATATGCTTAGGTAACCTAGTGAGAAAATCAAGGCTAGACGTTGTGGAAAACGCAATAAAGGCGTGTTGTCCCACCAGGAGAATGAAACTGTGCACAACTCTTTTGGTTGTCATGGCTGCAATGCAAGACTGTGGTTTTGACCTCATTGAACACACTCCGTATTCACCTGATTGTGCACCGTCACGTTTCCACCCATACCAAACTTTGAACAAAGAACTGTCTAGAAAGCATTATGCAAATGGTGATGACGTCATTTCTGCTGTGGATAACTTTTCAAACCACCAGTAGGAATCCTTCTACACCAGTGGAATGCAGGCACCACTCCAGCATCTTTGGCAGAAATGTGTGGACCTCGGAGGGGTTATGTCGAAAAATATTAAGCGCTCCATCACACAGTCCATCGTAGTTAGGCTCAGAACCCCCTCCTATGATGATTTATCAATACTAAATTACATGGCATTCGCTTACACAAATACATTCTTTTATTTCAACGTTTAAAGGTGAGGTGAGGTGAAATGGGGTTTTACGTCGCGTCCAAGATTATTGCACTTATATAGCGCCGTGCATGTACGTGTGTGTGTTTGTGTGGCTGCTTGTACTAGTCCGGACTGATGCCGATTTATAGTGCTAGCTCACTGAGATACCATGCCGCAGTTTAACATGAATACCCCACTCAGACACAGTATACTGACTCCGAGCCGACCAGTCCTTGTTTTAGCCCCTTAATGCCGGGGGCCAGACAGGGTAACAACAAGTACCATCTTTTAACGTCTTTTGGTATGACGCGGCCGGGGATCGAACCCCAGACCTTCCGCTCTCCGTGCGGACGCTCTACCACTAGACCACGGAGGAGGTCCAACGTTTAAAGAAATCTCTCCCCAAAAGCAGAGTCCATTGTATAATTGCGACGATAGCAACAACAAGTGTTAATGAATTGAAAAGGTGATGGCATCCCGCCCCACCTGAGGCACCCGTCACAAATACATTTTGGTCACTGTTAAGTCAAATATTGAAATGCCCTCTATACGTCTACCATAACAGTAATGCCTTGAATGATGGTCGGAACTTTTTGAGCAAGACTCGTATCTTCAGAAAAAGAGCATATTCGATTGTACTTCAAACATGTAGACACTAAAGATTCTTGAATATTGCTCGACATAAGGAAGAGTTGACCATAGGAAAGTTGAAGTCACCCCACTTGCCATACAATCTTAGTTACAGCTTGCTGTTCTTTGACGTCATCCATCCGGAGCCAAAGTCTTGCTGTAAGTGACAATTATCTCTTTAAACAACTGAAGTCTGTACTGAGGGAACAAGGCTTGCAGTCGATGATTCCTTGAAGTCCGCTGTTGAGGGCCAGTTGGAAGAGTTATATCATAGTAAGATAACAATTCTGATTGACTTTTTGCAATATTCCAGCTATATGACGGCCGTCTGTAAATAGCGAGTCTAGACAATAAGACTGACATCATAAGCATCGTACCCAACTGGGATACAATGACATACATCAAGTCAGCGAGTCTGACCACCCCGATCCCGTTAGACGCCTCTTACGACAAGCATCGGTTGCTAAAGACCAATTCTAACCCGGATCTCCATGTATCTGAAGGACAAATGGACCAAATGCATTGAAAGGGGAGCCATTATATTGACAAATATAAGTGAACTTTGTGTTCCTCACTTTTGCAGGTGAATTATACCTATCACAATTGTTGAAATTCTGTAGATATTGGGGAAAACTCAAGCCTGACCTACATGGGAAGAAATATCGACAGTGTGTTTTAATTTGGGACATCCCAAAACAACAGTGAGCGACGATTAAATTACATTCCATAATCGCTCAATAAAGTGGTACATTCTCTACTGTTTAATTAATTATGAGAACATTATGAAAATATACTGTTGAACTGTTTTGTTTCAAATATTCAGGTTTCTGAAAAGCATTCAGGGAAATTTTGCCCGTAGTAAGTGGGGTAGAAGCAACATATATGATTGGGGATCGGGTGGGGATTGTGTGAATAGATGTGTGTGGCTGCTTGTACTAGTCCGGGCTTATGTCGGTTTTATAGTGCTAGCCCAATGAGATACCATGCCGCATTTTAACGATGATATCCAACTCAGACACAGTATGCTGACTCCGAGACGACCAGTCCTTGTGTTATGACATAAATTGTCTGCCGAGCACCAGGCAAGGAAACAAAAAATACCATCTTTTAACGTATTTTGGTATGACGCGAGCAGGGTTGGATGCACCGACCTTCCGCTCTGCGGCCAGACCTTCTATCCACTGGACCACGGAGGTGATCAACGTGTCAATTGGGCAACAACTGTGAGTACATAAACAATAATGTTCTGGATTATGATTATAACTTGTTGTACCATGGACATGTCATCTTAATTCTAAGAGAAATCTTTAGTCGCGCATGATACACCTGGGAGATGGTGAAGGTGAGGTGAGGTGAACTGGGGTTTAACGTCGCGTCCAAGATTATTGCACTTATATAGCGACGTGCATGCACGTGTGTGTGTGTGTGTGTGTGGCTGCTTGTACTAGTCCGGACTGATGCCGATTTATAGTGCTAGCCTACTGAGATACCATGCCGCAGTTTAACATGAATACCCCACAGTATACTGACTCCGAGCTGACCAGTCCTTGTTTTAGCCCCTTAATGCCGAGGGCCAGACAGGGTAACAACAAGTACCATCTTTTAACGTCTTTTGGTATGACGCAGCCGGGGATCGAACCCCGTTCCTTCCGCTCTCCGGGCGGACGTTCTACCACTAGACCACGGAGGCGGTTCACCTGGGAGAGCTTCTTACCAGAAACATTGAAATGTCATCGGTTAGCACCCTCAGTAAATAAGTATTACCAAGCATCAGGTACCCTTGGAGTAATTAACGCGCTTTTCGACATCTCACCCGAGTAGTATTTAACAGAGGCACACATGCAAAAACATGTGCACACACAGAGAAACGAAAATCTTCTTTTTGGGTGCAATAAAAAGTGTAACATGTTCCCTTTCACAAGCTTTGACAAATTAAACGAGCATCAAAATAAATTACATTCTATTCTGTGATTAACACGCAAGATCGTCCTTCTAATTGCGATTTTTCTCCATTAAAGTTTATCTTGGTTGGCCCTCCCTCCCGTACATTATAAATTGGGAGCAAAAGACTTCACTGCGCCTTTCAACAGGTACATGCGGACCTGTAAGGAGATAGGGCTTCATCATGAGATTATCATTACTAGTACTTGTGGTCTTCAGCGTCGGAGTTTCGTGTGCCCACAGCGGTAGGCGACAGCCTCAAAATGCGTACGATCATGGAGGAACGAGGGGCGGCAGTGGTACTGGTGTGACTAAGGGCGGAACCAGTGGTAGATACGGCGGAGTGAACACCGGTTCTAACAATGGAAGAATCAATGGTTGGCCTTCAGGAGGTATCACCGGCAGTGGGCATTCGGGCAGCTTCGGTGGCAGATATAATAGCCATGGGGGAAAACCCAGTAACAACAATGGAGGATACCCAAGTCATGGCTACGGAGGAAGACCCGATCCAAACAATAACGGAAGACTCGGTCCCAACTATGGAGGAAGATTTGATGCAAACATTGGTACCCACATTGGAGGAAGACCCGGCCCCCATTATGAAGGAAATGTTTATCCCATCTATGGAGGAAGACCCGGCCCCCACATTGGAGGAAGACCAGGCCCCCACATTGGAGGAAGACCCGGACCCCACATTGGAGGAAGACCCGGACCCCACATTGGAGGAAGACCCGGGCCCCACATTGGAGGAAGACCAGGACCCCACATTGGAGGAAGGCCCGGCCCCCACATTGGAGGAAGGCCCGGACCCCACATTGGAGGAAGACCCGGGCCCCACATTGGAGGAAGACCAGGACCCCACATTGGAGGAAGACCCGGGCCCCACATTGGAAGAAGACCAGGACCCCACATTGGAGGAAGGCCCGGACCCCACATTGGAGGAAGACCCGGACCCCACATTGGAGGAAGACCCGGGACCCACATTGGAAGAAGACCAGGACCCCACATTGGAGGAAGGCCCGGCCCCCACATTGGAGGAAGGCCCAGACCCCACATTGGAGGAAGACCCGGACCCCACATTGGAGGAAGACCCGGTTCCTACATTGGAGGAAGGCCCGGCCCCCACATTGGAGGAAGGCCCGGCCCCCACATTGGAGGAAGACCCGTCATCCTCAATGGAGGAAGACCCGGCACCCACATTAGAGGAAGATCCGGCCCCTATATTGGAGGAAGACCCGGACCCCACATTGGAGGAAGACCTGGCCCCCACATTGGAGGAAGACCCGATCTCCAAATTGGAGGAAGACCTGGTCCCCTCAATGGAGAAGGACCCGGCCCCCACATTGGAGGAAGACCCGGCTCCCACATTGGAGGAAGTCCCGGTCCTAACATTGAAGGAAGGCCCGGTCCCTACATTGGAGGAAGACCCGGCCCCCACATTGAAGGAAGACCCGGTTCCCACATTGGAGGAAGGCCCGGTCCCCACATTGGAGGAAGACCCGGTCCCCAAATTGGAGGAAAACCCGGCCCCCTCAATGGAGAAGGACCCGGCCCCCACATTGGAGGAAGACCCGGCTCCCACATTGGAGGAAGGCCCGGTCCTCACATTGAAGGAAGGCCCGGTCCCCACATTGGAGGAAGACCCGGCCCCCACATTGAAGGAAGGCCCGGTTCCCACATTGGAGGAAGGCCCGGTCCCCACATTGGAGAAAGACCCGGTCCCCAAATTGGAGGAAGACCCGGCCCCCTAAATGGAGAAGGACCCGGCACCCACATTGGAGGAAGACCTGGCCCCCTCGATGGAGAAGGACCCGGCCCCCACATTGGAGGAGGACCCGGACCCCACATTGGAGGAAGGCCCGGTCCCCACATTGGAGGAAGACCCGGTCTCCAAATTGGAGGAAGACCCGGCCCCCTCAATGGAGAAGTACCCGGCACCCACATTGAAGGAAGGCCCGGTCCTCACATTGAAGGAAGGCCCGGCCCCCACATTGAAGGAAGACCCGGCTCCCACATTGGAGGAAGGCCCGGTCCCCACATTGGAGGAAGACCCGGTCTCCAAATTGGAGGAAGACCCGGCCCCCTCAATGGAGAAGTACCCGGCACCCACATTGGAGGAAGATCTGGCCCCCTCGATGGAGAAGGACCCGGCCCCCACATTGGAGGAGGACCCGGCCCCCACATTGGAGGAAGACCCGGCTCCCACATTGGAGGAAGACCCGGTCCTCACATTGAAGGAAGGCCCGGTCCCCACATTGGAGGAAGGCCCGGCCCCCACATTGGAGGAAGACCCGGCTCCCACATTGGAGGAAGGCCCGGTCCTCACATTGAAGGAAGGCCCGGTCCCCACATTGGAGGAAGACCCGGCCCCCACATTGAAGGAAGACCCGGCTCCCACATTGGAGGAAGGCCCGGTCCCCACATTGGAGGAAGACCCGGCCCCCTCAATGGAGAAGGACCCGGCCCCCACATTGGAGGAAGACCTGGCCCCCTCGATGGAGAAGGACCCGGCCCCCACATTGGAGGAAGACCCGGTCCCAACAGTGGCAGAAAACCTGGTCCGGACAATGGTGGCTACCCAAGTGGCGGTTACGAGGGAATACTCCACCCAAACAATGGGAAAAGACTTGGCACAGAAAATGGTGGCAACCTAAGTCACGGTAATGGAGGCAGAATACCCGGTAACAATGATGGTAGAAGACCTGGCACCAACAATGGAAACTTTCCAAGTGGTGTTAGTGGAGGAGGACGCGGTACCAATAACGAAATTGACTATGGTAAGTTGATGTATAATTATGTAATTGTAATTAGAACATCCAGAAATATATCTGATACTTGTGGAGTACCGCTCATCTTTTTTAAAACAATGTTTCGCTACTTCCAGAACTGTGCACTCAACTTGCTGATGAAGGTTCTTCTGACTTCTTCACTGAACCATATTGTTTCCAAGTAACGCTCAGCAAGTGCCGTATTTCTTCTGTTAGGGTTTCGCAGATCTATCTTCAACCTAATGCCCTTGTTCCATCCTTCACCGGTACAGTAAGTACATGCACTATCATACTCCTATTAATTGTCAAAATGTTTGTCAAATGTCTCTCAACATGATCGTGTTACACGCGCGCTACTTTCATTAGGACCTGGCATCTTTAACTTGGTGGGCCAGTCGTCTAATGCGACAGATTTGCGTCGCTCGGGCGCGCCAGAACCCTATTACCGTGGGTTCGAATCCCGGTTCGCCCCGATCATGTTTCTAGGTTTGTCAGCACCATACATGTGCCAAGTGCTCGCTCGTCACGCCGAAGACCCGGGTTCGAATCCCGACATAGGTACAATGTGTGAAGCCCATTTCTGGTGTCCCCCGCCGTGATATTGCTGGAATATTGCTAAAAGCGGCGTAAAACCATACTCCCTCACTCATACCCGTGCCCTTGCAGCAAAGTGGTAAACGTCTAAGACCAAGCAATTCAACTTTTGATGTAACCACTTTTGTGAATTGTGAAGTATTAAACACCTGTTAGCAGAATCAGACAACGGACGATATCCCTGAAACTTCTTTCTCAGTCTCAAACGGTGGACGGGTTCACATAATGATGTATGTATGCACATTCGGATTTGATCGTTCATCTTTATTTCCCTTTATACCCTACTTGGACATAAAACAATACATGCGTCAAATAGATGGTGAAAATCATCTGTTGTACCTATTGAACCTATTGGTAGCAGTGTCTTCACACACATATATGTCACAAATATGTCATATCTGTTGGAGGTTTGGAACCTAACCAGCTTGATGCACCAACATTTACATCTGGTTATGAAATTCCAGTCGCCCATGTGGCTGATACAGAGAGGGTTGTTGATGAAGTTGGAGAACTCCACAAATGAAGCATCTACAGACTACCTCTGTCTCAGACAAGGCAGTGGTAGATAACCTGTAGGTGTAGATCCATTCAATAAATGTATTCACATTCATCAAACCACCCTGTCAAACACCTGCTAGCATATAGCAGTTAGACTACTTATTAGAATATAATAGACGTTGCAGACCGACGTCTGACGTAATTCACATAACTTTTTCATTCAATGCAACGTCGCTGTACAGGTGCTACTACTTTTATCGAGCAAATGCATTGGAAGCATAATTAAGTTGAAATCCATGTGAGCGTCTGTCGTCATCGTTACTGAAATTTGTAAAGTGCCACTTAAAGATAAATACAAATGATTTGTTAATCCGTAAACCGTATTCCTGGGAAGGACACTATCTGGCCTGACGATGTTTCACCTCCGTGTTCTGATTTTCGACAGGCTGCTGACTATATGTTCCAAGTCAGGAAGTGCATTACAAGAAGACTGTTGCCAACTCTGGAGAACCCCGTCTGTAGCAACGTGGTAGACCTAGCTGAAGGCAGTCTCACCGACCCCGACGGCTGCATCGGCCAAGATGACTTCTGTACCGTAATGTCTAATGCTAAGGACGCAAGGAAGCTTTATATTGTTTTCGGTCTTCCCCATCCAAGTGACTTCCAGGCACGGTAAGATGACCGCATAAACTTTATCAATCTCCTCTACAACTTTGTATTTTCTTGAAACACATGCAGTATGTTTTACGGCAAGTTTAAGTGGCATCGTTGGTACTCAATGCCATATAAAGGCCCAGTAACTTTAAAAATAACGTCAAGATCCTTTCTGTAATCATAAGAAATCTGTGCTCGTCAATTGTACGATTTCGACTATATCCTAAGCATGTGTTCATACATCATACCTTGATCCACCTTGATACCTTGAGGCATTTGTCAATAAATGGGGTGACCATAAATTTAGTTATATCTCTATCTTCAACAAAGAAAAGTAAATGTCATCTGAAGTATGTGAAATGATTAACATCATCATTGATAACATCCATGTGAAATATTGGGATAGGGCATTTAGGCAAGAAGTAGGCATTAGCATGCCCACCAATCGTGCTCCTCCCCTTGCTGGTCTTTTTTATGCTTACAAGTCAAGATTGCTTCTCGGATTTTCAAGGGGATTTCCAAAGGTGTTGAAATTAAGTTTCAGGTGATGACTGATGATCTAATATCATTCACTAATGGTCAAATAGTCAATTCCCTTCCACTGGTTTGCCCATCCGAGATCGAAATAATAGAGACCAATTAAACCGCCTCATCTGTTTCACTTTTATATGATGCATAAATATTCAGAGTGACAAAAAACTATCCACAAGATCGTATGGCAAGAGGGATGTCTTCAACTTTCTAATGGTCAACTTTCTAAGAGTCAAGTTTCCGTTTATGTCGAGCAATATCCTTCGTTTAGTGGTATTCTGCTACTACATGGTCTATCAGATGTAACGGTAACTATTTCCCGTATTATTTCTGTTGCAACACAACACAAAGTTACACTTTGGTAGGGGTAATGGATTGGCTTGTGTTGGTGAGAGGGAATGAGGCAACCTCAGGAATCTCGCTGAGTGAAAACCTCGCTAAATATAAGTATACATTCTTGCTTGGTAGATTTATACACGCGTAGAGGATATTTTTCAGCTCCTGATATATGTAGTTCATTGTTTAACGCCATGTTCCATTCGATTTCAGACTTTTGGATGTATTCAAAGACCTTATAAGAAACTGCGATAGTGATGCTCAGGACAATTATGAGAATATGATCAACCCGGGCAGTGGGTCTGAAGGAAACAATGGAGGAGGGCGTAGCAACGGAGGAAACAATGGAGGAGGGCGTGGCAACGAAGGAACCAGTGGAGGAGGGCGTGGCAACGGAGGAAACAATGGAGGAGGGCGCGGCAACGGAGGAAACAATGGAGGAGGGGGTGACAACGGAGAATACTATGTAGGAGGGCGTGGCAACGGAGGAAACAATGGAGGAGAGCGTGGCAACGGAGAACACAATGGAGGAGGGGGTGACAACGGAGAATACAACGGAGGAGGGCGTAGCAACGGAGGAAACCATGGAGGCGGGCGTGGCAACGTAGAACACAATGGAGGAGGGGATGACAACGGAGAACACAATGGAGGAGGGCGTGGCAACGGAGAACACAACGGAGGACGGCGAGGCAACGGGAAACACAATGGAGGAGGGCGTTTCAACGGAGGAAACGATGGAGGTGGACGTGGCAACGGAGGACACGATGGAAGAATCGGTGGAGGAGGGCGTGGCACCGGAGGACACAATCTAGGAGGCCGTGGCAACGGTGGAAACAATGAAGGAGGTAGAGGAAACCAAGGACACAATGGAGGAGGGCGTGGCAACGGAGGAAACAATGGAGGAGGGCGTGGCAACGGAGGAAACAATACAGGAAATCCTAGCAACGGAGGAAACAATGGAGGAAATCGTGGCAACGGAGGAAACAATGGAGGAGGGCGTGGTGGATTCCGAACGACCACGATGATGATGATGATGGGGGGAGCAGGAGGCGACTAGACAATTCCCCGAATCGTGATAAAGACATTTACCCTATGAATATCATTTACTCCCATGACATTACATGATGCTTGATTGTTCTCCAGATGCTCAAAAATCACCATTAATGACCCGGTGCTATATGAAAAGAATCTTTCAAAGATCTCGTTATTCTCATGATTGTAAGTTACTTTAGAAATGTGATACATTTTGAAATATTCTCTCTAAAACCACACATTCCATGAAATGTGGCACAGACCAGTCTTATCTGTGCTGAAGGTAAATCACTGGTAATATTCAGTAACGCGTTCAAGTATCATTCTTGTCATCTTATGTGCATGTATATACATATAACAAAGAAATAAACATTTGACTATGAAATGGTTATTCGGTTACTTTATAACTTACAGCTGGAGTGATAAACTCAAACCATGTCCAAGGGATGTTCTTGGGAAGGCAAAAAGATGGTTAATTTGACTGGCGTTGAGATAGATAAGTCGACTAGCGTTGAGATGGATATCTCGACTGGCGTTGCGATGGATAAAGCTAACAATGGTAAGGAAAAGGAATCCCTAAGTTGAAGTGTCGGTCATTCAAACACCACCGTTACATTTTGTTGAATGACTTTAATTATCAGCATTCCTCTTCCGGGAGTATATATCTGTGTGGATGTGTCTTTGTTGTTTAACGTCGCCATTAACAATATTAGTGAGTGAGTGAGTTGGTATGGTTTTACGCCGCTTTTAGCAATATTCCAGCAATATCAAGGCGGGGGACATCAGAAATGTACCCATTTCGGGAATCGTGCCCATGTCTTCGGCGTGACGAGCGAACGCTTTAACCACTGGACTACCCCTCCACCCCAACAATATTAGTAAAACAATCAAGAATGAACAAGATTGATATTATGAGCAGCGATTCACGCCGTTGATGTACGACGACAGGCAATCAACCAACTCACCGATCCTGCCCACCTGCCCAGGAAGTGATCTCTTACGAGGATCAAGGTTGGTACGGGGCCCATGTGTGCAGATGGATGCGTGACCCTTGGACTGGTGAAACGTGTAGACAATGTATATGAATAACACTGATTGTGAGGGGTGGGATTCACTGATCACGGCAACAGTGCTCAGTACACTCCCAAGCTCACATAACCTCGAAGTAGATTTGAAATGTTGGCTTGAAGACAAGATCAGGTGGGGGGAAAACTCACATGTAGAAACATGTTTGATTGTACCTCTGAAGTTCAGAAAAGTAGGCACCAAAGGGTTGGAGCTGCAGGAAAGTTGACAAATGGAAAGTTGAAATCATCGTCTTGTGGAGCATAATTGTCAATTTTTTATGCATATATATGAATATAAAAAAGAAGAAGCGGTTTCACTGGTATCATCTATTTCTAGTTCAGACAGGTAAATCAGAGAACGGGAACTCGCTACTTGCAATTATTTAATGATATTTGATCATCGAAATAGAGGTTAAAAGCCAAATACCTGTGTTTTGATTTTGCCAATCAAAGTAGTATTCCGATTTATATGTATAAAGACCTAGGCCAGCAAGGAAGGAAAGCACAATCGGTGCCCGTACGTCTTGCCAAAGGGTTTACCCCCAAGTTTCACATATATTAGGATATCCAACATTTCACATATTATTTTCTCAGTAAACATCAGATGACATTAATTTTGCTTTCATTTTCGATAATTGTCCTGAACCTTTTCAGATAGATATGTAACTATATCTGTGGTCACCACATTTAATGACAAATGGCGTATGGATCAAGGAACGAAGTTTTCTGTTAAGTTATTACAGAAATGAACTTCGCTCTTGCTCTTTTCTGAGATTGCACATGAATCCACATGATATTAATTCCACTTGTCTCAAATACTTTCTCAAACAATAAATATGAGGAAAGTCCTTCCTTGATTGTATTTAGGATTATGGTTCATCTTTGAGACACAGGATTTGGTCGAACTGGTACTCCTTGACTGTAACGTGTCTCGTTGTCCAGCTTTTATTGAGCTTTGTAAGCCAGTACAAAATGAATGGACATGTCTTCAACTTTTAGAGTCCAACCAAACGTTGAGAGTACTGATTCGTGGATTAAGCAGTTTTCCCCTCTTACAAGGCCTTACATAACGTACTCATTGTATGTTAGGATCACTACACTAAGTGTTTCATCAAAGAACTTGGTACAAGTGACATATTAAATAATGCCACGTATAAGGAAAAAAGTTAACCATATGCTATTGAAATTGATATGAGTACATTACAATTTACATGAAATAGAAAATTATAAATTCTTGGTTATATTATATTACAATAAGATAGATAAAAATCAAGTCAGTTCATGTCTGACATATATCTTGTGTCAAAGGTAAGATTTTCTATATTGCCAAAGGGCCCGTGAAGATCCGGGATAGAATAGGTCTTCTGCAACCCATGCTTGCCGTAAAAGGCGACTATGCTTTTCGTAAGAGGCGACTAACGGGATCGGGTGGTCAGGCTCGCTGACCTGGTTGATGCATGTCAATTTCGTGGATCGATGCTCATGTTGTCAATCACTGGGTTGTCTGGTCCAGACTCGGTTATTTACAGACCGCCGTCATATAACTAGAATATTGCTGAGTGCGGCGTTAAACAACAACAACAAAAACAAAAAAACATTGCCAAAGACCCACCTGGCTTCAAATACAATTGAAGTTTATCGAATTGGGTGAACGGTTGGCATACAGTGATTGATTTTTTTACAGATTAAAATCCTGTCAATCACATTAGTGTCAAAAGGGACAGAAAGTTCAATGATATACATGATTTAATTGGATTTATCAGAAAGGACAGGATCAGGTTTGTTGGCCTGGATACGGCTGTAAATGGGCCTATTCCAAAGAATTTTGTATTCCGGGTCGTGCCATGGATGGACCACTGTGTCAAAACCACAAGCATGGCGAAGACGGTAATAAAATGATCGGGTTACACCATCATGTCGTTTATGATACTGTGTTTGTGCCAAAGCTGGGCATCCACTGACAATGTGTTGGACAGTCTCATGCTTCACAAGAGGATCATCAGACAAATAAATGTGTGCAAAAGTGCACAAAACAATTCTATCATGAAGAGCCTGAACGTTAATCAAACCACGCCCTCCCATAATGATCGGTAAACATAAGCGATTGAGGGAAGAGCGAGGGTGGTGGGATCTATTGTCTGACATGATTCTTTGTGTGAGGGTGTCAATACCCTGAATTTCTTGTTTCGTCCAATCAACAACACCAAACGAATACGAAGGGACGGGTACAGCATAAGTATTTGTGGCTTTAACTTTATTGTGAGCGTTCAGCTCTGAACTCCAGATTTTCTTAAGTCTACATACATTTGTACTCTGCCCGAAGTATTTCCTTGATATGGGCATTCTGGAGATTGTCCCTAATATGCATCCCTAAGTTCGTATAGGCAATAAGTTCAAGGTCATCCATGTAAAGGAGGTGATTAAGGGGTGTTGGGGATCGGTGCTGAGGAGGTCCAGGATGATAACCTTCCTCTTTGCTAAGCAAAAAGCTTAAAGGATTTAATGAAAACAGAAAAGCAAAGGACTAAACGAATCGCCCTGACATATTCCTCTCCTAATAGAAATAGGTTCCGAAGTCAACACCTACCCCTGCGAATACATCCCAAGTTGAGTTGACCAGCAATTCATTAAAGACTTGAGTTAAACAAGTAGTCGCTCGGGGAGGTCAATGCATTCCAGTGACTTCAAAATCCATTCGTGAGGTAGAAGAATTTCTGTAGTCTATCCAAGACATTGAGAGGTTACGGTGGTACGTTTTAGCCATTTTCTGAACCAGCAATTGGTTCTTACAACCCCAACATCCCTTTCTGGCTCCTTTCTGCTCATTGTAAATAAAGTCATTCGAAGCGCAGTACGATGACACGAACTCTGTAAGACACCCTGTAAATAGTTTGTACTGTGTGTTCAAACAAGTAATTGAGCGGAAGTTTTGGGGTCAGTCAGATCATGAAATTTCCTATTTTGACTTGTACCACATGTTCCCGTGTTTTTTTCCAGGTGAACAACTGCCCTGCTTCTGCATGTGTTTGTGACGGGCGCCATTGCAGGACACATCCACCTTTTCGCGAACACCTGGTATCATCACTTTTCGATAGTGATTTATGATATATTCGGAATTGTTCAACGGACTTTGCTTCAGCAGAGATTCCTTGTACATGTCGAAGAGGTTTTGACTCTTCTATTTGTAATAGGTTTTCATTGTCCCTTTGATAACACACGTAACATAGGCAGCACATGATGCTAAGTCACCATTATAGGTTACATATATACAGTAAACTACGGTTATAACGAACTCAAAGGGACTACTAATTCGTTATAACCGTAATTCGTTATAAGCATATATACAGCATAACTACAGCATATAGTCGGGACTAAAAAGTTAGTTCGTTATATCCGTTAGTTCGTTATAAGCGTGTTCGTTAATTATAACCGTAGTTTACTGTATTCAGATACTTTCGTAGCGAATGTTCTCTTTGAGAAAATGTTATATTTTTAAAATTGGTAAATGCTTTTAGTCTATGTTTTATTTTCAGGATGCCGTTGTGAATTAAAGGTATGATTTTCAAGTGGTTCATTGTATATCTAACATCCAAGCAATGGGCAAAACATTAATTCAAGCAATTAAATAGTTTATTTTTAATGGTGTCAACATTTCGTGTTCCTTTTAATAATACATGTGTGAACATTAAAAACACCACATTTCATAAATATTGAAGAGGCATTGGCTATTCCACAGGAACATGTGACAATTGTTGATGTAGTCTCCCATCAACGTTTAGTCAGTGGATAAAACCACCCCTCTATTTGGATTAGACCAACATCAGCCGACAAAATACACAGTCAGTTACCCGAGCGTTTAGACAGGTAAGCCTGTCTACTGTGAACAAACATTGTGAGCGTCACTAGCGATGTGAGAATCCTCTTGTGTTTGGTTTTACTTTAAGGTTAAATACTGCAGAGTATAGAATTCACGTAATGATTTAACTCATTAACATTGCAAACTCGCGCTGTCAAAATCTTTAAACCGATTCGTTTCCTTAAACTACCAATCCTCGTACCGTGGACCAATGAGAATTTCGGAACGTTTTTTGAATGAATATTTTAAAAGTATAAATATTTTGGTCATGCTTGTGTCTTCCTCAAAAGATAGCAATTTAAGGGTAAAATGAAGATTGTCATCGGGGTGGTCGTATTTTGCTTGATTGTAAATTCGGTATTGTCCACCAGACAGCCTGTAACATCAAGAAACAAATGGCGAAGACGGGGCGGTAATAAAACTGGAAGTAAGTATAACAATCTTTATCCGGTCTATGTTCTTTTGCAGGACCGCCTCCGTGGTCTAGTGGTAGAGCGTCCGCCCGGAGAGCGGAAGGTCTGGGATTCGATCCCCGACCGCGTCATACCAAAAGACGTTAAAAGATGGTACTTGTTGTTACCCTGTCTGGCGCTCGGCATTAAGGGGCTAAAACAAGGACTGGTCGGCTCGGAGTCAGTATACTGTGTCTGAGTGGGGTAGTCATGTTAAACTGCGGCATGGTATCTCAGTGTGCTAGCACTATAAATCGGCATCAGTTCGGACTAGTACAAGCAGACACACAAACACACACACACACGTGCATGCACGTCGCTATATAAGTGCAATAAACGCGACGTTAAACACCATTTCACCTCACCTCACCTTTTTTTGCAGATTATACACTTACGTAAGTACCTGCATGACAGGAGTATTGCCGTACGGCGTCAGGCAACAAACAAACATTTACGTTTTATATAAATTGTGTGAGTGGTGGGAGCTAACGGTAGATGATGACCTTCTTTCTCTTTTCGCGAACACCTGGTGTCTTCACTAAATTTCAGTGATCCATTCATATAATGTTCACTGTTATTTTTGTTTTTGCGCCAAATGGAATCTGTTTCAAGGATATCGAATCTGGTTATTCTCTGGCGTTGACACGTTATATTTATATCTACAGTTTTTACCTATTATCTATGCTGGGAAGAGGGAAATAAATAGTGCATATACATAGAAATCAAAACATTCAAATCAAAATATACAAAACTAACGTTAATGATGAAATTTGAAATGAAGAATGAAATGTGTATGAGATTGGGGTCGGTAGTCTACACGAAAATGAAAACACAGCGCATGTAACGTGTGCGACCGGTGGGGCAGGACACGCCCACCGTTTCGCGAACACCTGGTGTCATCATTATTTGATAGTGATTCATAATCACATGCTAATGATGCAGTCATTTTTAATGTATGAAAATCCATTGAGGGGCACATTTCTGTCGTGGTCCAAATATAAATGTTAAAGTTGTTATTAATATTATAGGGGGAACGGGTGGCCCAGTCGTCTAAGGCGCCGCGATTCGCTGTGCAGAGTTGCGTCCCTTGGGCAGGCCTGAAACCTATGATTGTGGGTTCGAATCCCGGTTTACCCCGATAATGTTTCTAGGTTTGTCAGCACCATACCCGTGCTCATGGGTTTCACCGAAGTGGTAAACGTCTGAGACCTGCATCACTTCGGGCTTACCTCCCACTTTAAGCTTACACGCCGTGATATAACTGGAATAATGTTAAAAGCGGCGTTAAACCAAACTCATGATCACTCATTCACTATTAATATTACATACCACCTCCGTGGTCTAGCGGATAGAGCGTCTGCCCGGAGAGTGGAAGGTCGGAGGTTAGACCTCCGGCCGCGTCATACCAAAAGACATTAAAAGATGGTACTTGTTGTTACCCTGTCTGGCGCTAGCTAGCTATAGGCATTTGAAGATAAATCAAAGACAGGTCTGCTCGGAGTCAGAATACTGTATCTGAGTGGGGTATTCATATTCAACTGCGGCATAAGCCGGACTAGTACAGTCGACACACACGCACACACAAACACACGTGCACGTCGCTATACAAGTGCAAGCATCTTGAAAGCGACGTTAAATGCCATTTCACCTCACCTATTAATATTAGAACGCGAACACAAAAACAATGAAATTCATGTTAGTTGAATGGCTTATACGTTTATAACGAACACGCTTATTACGAACAGCAGATATAACGAACTTTTTTGTCCCGGCCATTTGCTGTATATGTGCTGTGTATATGCTTATAACGAACTACGGTTATATCGAACTAATATCAGTGGTCCCTGTGAGTTTGTTATAACCGTAGTTTACTGTATTTCGTTACCAAATTCGACGATTCGCGACAGTTTGTATTTTTTAGTTTAATTTTTGGAAGAATCTTCCGAAATTGACAGCATAATATTTCCGATAGTATTAATATCGCGGATGTTGTCAGCAGGCATTTCGGGAAAACACTTAACAATCTGTGGTTGTATCTAAAGTAATCGCTAATTCATTTTAGATGTAAAAACGAATTGCGCTGTTCTGGCCAAAAGATCGTCATGTGACTTCTACAGCGCATGCGTGAAGAAGGGTGTGACGTCATGCAGCCTTAGAGATGCAGCCGAAGACTTCTGCCAGACGACCGGGGCTGGTGAGCGGGAACTGGACAACCTGGTGAGAAGGGACTGTTTGTTTGTTTGTTAACATGTATTGCATGGTGGTCAAGCCGAGTCGTTAACGCGTTCGCTCAACGCCCGGTTAGAATACCAACGTGGGCGCAATGCATAGAGCTTATTATTAGTGTTTTCAGCTGTGTGATTGCTGAAATATTTTCAAATGCGGAGCAAATTAATTGAGCATCATACATGGATATAATGTAGAACCGATCTGTAATGTATAACACTATAGGACCAACCTTTAATGCATAACACAATAGGACCAACCTGTATGTATAACACTACGGGAAGACCTGTGACGTATAACACTATGGGAAGACTTGTAATGCATAACGCTATGGGAAGACCTTTAATGCATAACGCTACGGGAAGACATTTAATGCATAACTTTATGGGAAGACCTGTAATGTATAACACAATGGAAAGACCTGTAATGCATAACACTAAAGGACCAACCTTTATGTATAACACTACGGGAAGACCTGTGACGTATAACACTATGGGAAGACTTGTAATGCATAACACTATTGGAAGACCTGTAATGTATCACACTATAGAACCGACCTGTAATGTATTACATATTCGTTAAGGATGGATGGGTTTGGGCGTGTTGGGTGTGGTTGAGTACTTCTGTGATATTGTTTGAGACAAACATTTTTCTTCCCTCGGAAAAAAGAGCTCCGAAGTGAAATGGATTTAGACATCGACACATTTCTTTATTAGGCTGGTTAACTTTATGTTAACCCTAAGCACAAATTATTGTTTCCAGTATTTTAGGGAACATATATTTTTAGAAGAATACCAGGCTACCCCAATGATTTCAAATGGAAGACCCCTAAAATGTACGTATGAATGCTGTCCTCTGCGAGATCCGGGAGTTCAGATTGGCCCGTCATCTTTGGCAATTCGCTATGCAAAGTTTCGTCTCTTAGTCCTGTTAGGACGCTGCTCGTGGCTTCGAGTTCTACATCCGTCCTTATTAAGGTCTTTGGTCTTTTAGCGACCGCCTCCGTGATCTGAGCGTGATGGTAGAGCGTCCGAGTGGAAGGTCGGGACGCGTCATACCGAAATACGTTAAAAGATGGTACTTGTTGTTACCCTGCCTGGCGCTTGGCATTAAGGGGCTAAAACAAGGACTGGTCGGCTCGGAGTCAATATATTGTGTCTGAGTGGGGCATTTATGTTCAACTGCGGCATGGTATATCAGTGGGCTGGCACTATAAAATAGGCATTAGTCCGGAAAAGTATAGGCTACTTCACGCACGTACGCACGCACGCACGCACAAACACAGAGGTGCATGCACGCCGCTATATGAGTGCAATAATTTTGGACGCGACATTTTACCCCATCTCACCTCACCTCACCTCTGGTCTGTTACCACTATATAGCGCACTTGTTACAAATACACATGGCTGTTTCAGGGCAAAAGGTACCTCAGAGATGTGAGAACGTGTATTCAGAAGAACCTTCTGGGTCTTAGTGACGCCACATCTTGTGATTCAACGGATCTGGGACGTGTTTTCGCGCAATCTGATATCAAGTCCGACTGCATTTACCAGAACGTCAGTTTATGTGCCGTTCTCAGCTCCTCGACAAATGTCATCACTCTTCTTGATATATTCTCCAACCTCGAGTCGGGAGTCTTCACACGACAGTATGTGTTAATACCTTTATTAACGTTAAGTTTCTCTCTCACACTCGCTCTCTCTCTCTCTGTGCCCTCTCTCTTTCTCTCTCTCTTCTCACACGTGAGAAGGATATTTAAATGAAGCTATCAGTTCTGTGATAACATGCATGCTTCATGCTCGCTATCCACACAGGTACTTTTATTCATTCCTTTTCCTTTTTAAGATTCATCGCTCGATTCCAGTCCTTGTCGCAAGGTTGTAACGAAAGATCCAAAGAAAACATCGAGAACACTTTCCCCAGGGAGTTTCTGGACATACTGAGGCCTGGACCTGATGCAACATCAACCCCTGACACTACGACTTCACCGACAACAGCAACATCAGCAACCAAGGAGACATCTACAAGCATCGAGTTACGAGGTGAGCTCTGTCATTGTACAGAGGTAATCAACACATATCTCCACTATCTGACTTAATGAGAAGATACGAATGATGATATGAAAATGGTGCAAACTTATAGCGATAAATCTTTCTAACATTTATTATGCTTCTAAAATATACTCATCTTCCCGCGTCAAGAGAGTTATTTGCCTTTTACGCCTCACTGGAATCTGTTGCGGCAGATAATAGACGTTTTTTTATAGTAAAAGCACAACTACAATGTGTTATCAAAAAAAGTTTCTTTTGCGAAATCCGTTCATCAAGATGTCGTACTGCTGACGTGTGTAGAAATGGAAATCCATCGTGATGTCAGGTCACGTGTTTGTTCGGGTCTTCCAGTCGTTATGTAGGACTCGATGACCATATTTAACGGGCAACTAATGGGGCATGGGTTACAACGAGTGACTTTACCTAACGACGTATATTGATTTCATGCTATCATTTCTCTGTCATTACTGTTGTATTTTGGAACTACTTCTGTCTTGTTTGCAGGTAAAAATGTATAACATAATAATAGTTTAATGAATGAGTAACAAATTGATTTCTCACATAGTCTGCAAAGCCCTGCTTCATCAGGACAGACTGTGGTTGAAGTCTTGTATTTAATGGCCACAAGGATATAGTGTAGGTATATCCCCTGGTCACTTTTAATATAGTTTCCTGCGTAAATAGCGTTCCCCGGGTTCCATATGTTACCTTAAACCCACCTCTATCTGTAATGAGCCCTACTTTGTTGATGTTTACCTTTCTTTAACCGATTGTGACTATAACCAAGGGCTTTTTTATAATGCACTATGACCAAAGACCGAGAAACTCTCAAACTTGCCAAACACACCCATCCAACTACTCTCCGCAACCAACGTTGCTGAGCTACACCTGATTAGTGACCTGTGCGATGCACTCAGAACCACGTACCACCATAAGATGTCATATCGCCTGGACGTAAATCTGACCGATACTTTGGCAATCGACTGTACCCGACAGTTTAGGATTCGTTTGGTTAAAGTTTCTTTATTGTAGTTTCACTGGTTTCAGGAAGAGATTGTGAAGTACTCAGCAAACGCACCTCGTGCGACTTTTACCCTGCTTGCGTAAAACCGGATGAGGCTGCATGCGCACTACGCGAGGACACTGGAGACTTCTGTCAACAAGCAACGGCAGCTGAAGAACAATTTGACTCCCTGGTAAGCAGGCCCTTTAGATTTGTTTGTTTGTTTTCAGCGTCACGCTCAGCAATACTCCAGCTGTTTGACGACTTTCTGTAAATAATCCTGTCTTCATCAGACCATCAAGTGATTGATGTTATAAGCGACGATCCACGCCCAAGGGGTACGATGACAATCAACAAAGTCACCTAACTTGATCACCCGGTGGCCTCTTAGGTTGCTGGGGACTTATTCTAACCCGGAATTCCCACAAGCGATGCACATATGTACATGTATTTTAGTAATTATAAAAAGCATTAATTTTATGGAGAAAAACAATAAATCTGAGTACAATTCTTTTAAACATAGGACATGTGTTCAAAATCAAATAGAGTTGAATAATATTCTCTGTTCTGTACTTCAGTGTGTGAATGGTTGTTATTTATGGTATATGACGGATACGGTGCCCGGTGCCAGGTGCTACTTCTGTGTCAGGACATATTAAGATGTTTTACTTATGCCAAGCATCATCACATGTAAAAACGTTACGGAGTGAGTGAGTGAGATTTAACACCGCTTTGAACCATATTCCAGTTTTATCGCGGCGTGACAGCTTCATATGCAAGGAAGGGGATGCAGGTCTTAGACGTATACCACTTTGGTGAAACCTACGAGCACGGATATGGTGAGATAGCTAGACACAATCGGGGCAAACTGGTATTCGAACCCACGATCATAGGTTTCTGGTGTGCCCAAGGGAAGCCGCTTTGCACAGCGAATTCCAGCACCTTAGACACCTGCCCCCCCCCCCCCCCCCCCCCCCCCACACACACACACACACCCACACCCCAACCCCCAACCAAACCCAACACCCCCCCCCCCCCCCCCCCCCACTGTAAAGTTCAGAATATATGAGTGAATGAAAGACTGGTGCTGAGCTTTTTTTCGAAGTGTATATAGGTCATGATGACTGGCATCGTCTAATTATAGGGCCGGAAGTACCTTCAGGACGTCAGAGTGTGCCTTCAGAAGAACTTACTAACATTCGACAACGTCACTTCCTGTAAAGGCAACCAACTTGGTGACTTGGAACAGGTGTTTGCACCCTCTGGCATTAAGTCGGACTGTCTGTACCAAAACGTATCGCTCTGTGCAGTGGTCAACACGATATCCAATGTCCAAGCGCTGTTTGACCTCTTTGCCTCTCTTCAATCCGGGCCCTTTCAACAACAGTGAGTACCGACATTCGGGTATTCTTTTGCAAAACTTGTCAACCAAAGAGCGTTCGAAAGAACCGATCTTCAAATGTTGATCAACATATACTGAAACACTATTTGAGATGCAAAGATATTATATCGATTTTCAAAAAAATATCAGAATTTAGTCTCCTTCGATCTCCGAATAGTTACAGTGGTGAAGCTGAGTTCAGAGTAGGATGGTATTGATAAAAACTATTCAGTACAGTATTCTAAAGGAATCTCGTGACAACAACTGAACTGTATAAACATTCTTATATACCGGGGGCGGTGTGGTAGCCTAGTGGTTAAAGCATTGGCTTGTCACGGGTTCGATTCCCCACATGGATATAATGTGTGAAGCCCATTTCTGGTGTGCCCTCTCTCTCTCTCTCTCTCTCTCTCTCTCTCTCTCTCTCTCTCTCTCTCTCTCTCTCTCTCTCTCTCTCTCTCTAACGTCTTCAGCGTATACAGCATACTCTAGAGTTGATTCTATATTTTTCAGATTCATTTCCCGGTTTGATGCCTTGGTCGAAGGATGTAATGAAGGCGCTAAGGAGAAGTTCGACAACATATTCCCTGAGGATGCTACTGAGGTCCTGACCCAGGTCGACGATACAGGTAGAGCACTTCTTTAATACCATCATCATCATCATCATCATCATTATCATCATCACGATCATTCAGAAATGTATCGTCCACTTCTGGGAAGCCAATTTGGGGGACGGGGTTAAGTTGGTTTAGTTTGATGATAAATACCGACAATAAGGCATGAATAACCTAACCCTCAAAATATAAATTGTCTAGTATTATCTTTTCAAAACGAAAAGAGCAAGAGAAAAGTAATTGTACTGATATATAGTAGATGAAGTGTAATTATTACCAAGTGTTTCAGCGACTCTAGCCCTGATATTTACATGAAAGATCAATGAAAAAGGGAAACATCAATTCTCCTGGACGTTACAGTTAGAGCAGCACCACCATGCGAGATTATCCTTTAATTATTGTGTTCATACATGTAGGCGTGAAAAACATTGGTGTATCGATGAAAGATGAACGATCTAGAATGGTCATGGTAGAAACGCTGGCGGCCGCGAGTAGCCGCATGGTGACCTGAGAGGGTGTATGGCTTAACCCTGTCCAACACTGAAACACAGGTTATGAAAGTGAATGAGTAAGATGAAGAGTGTATCGTGCATAAACAATACACAAGTTCTTGTACTTTTTCAAAATACCAAAATCTAATCTACCAGAACATAGTCAATATAACAGAACATTGTCGTTTTAGAGCTCATCCATGGAACAAAAAACTAAAATGATCTCCCCTAACAGCTACCCATGAAATCAAATGTGATGACATCTTTCAGTTAAATTAGTCAGTGATTGAGTGTTGGTTTAAGATGTAGTCAGGTATATTACAGCTATATGAGGGGCGACCGAGAAGCCTGGTTGTTAATGTGTTCGCTTGTCACGCCAAAGACCCAGGTTCAATTCCCTACACGGGTACAATGTGTGAAGCCAATTTCTGGTGTCCGACGACGTCATATTGTTGGAATGTTGCTGAAAGCGGCGTAAAACCATATTCAAGACTCACAAGAGCTATGTCACCAGACAAAACATTGGTAGATCCACTAAATCGATGTACGCTCAAGCAATAACACGCGGTAACAATCAGTTCTATTTCAGCCGACTATCAAGTGGGTACGGGGTATCTATTCCGACCCGGATTCCCGAAATAGTTCAGTTTGATTGTTTGTTGTTTAACGCCGCACTCAGCAATATTCCAACCATATGACGGCGGTCTGTAAATAATCGTGTCTGGACCAGACAAACCATTGACATCATGAGCATCGATCCACGCGATTTGGATACGATCACATGCATTAACCAAGTCAGCGAACCTGACCACCCGATCCCGTTCATCGTCTCTTACGACAAGCATAGTCGCGTTTTACGGCAAGCATAGTCGCCTTTTACAAGCATGGGTTGCTGAAGACCTATTCTAATCCGGAACTTCACGGGTCAAATAGTTCAGTAATCCTTGGGGTGTGAAACTTCACTCCTATCATTAGAAAACCTATCAATGTCCGTGGTTCCACACAGTAAATGTCAATAAAACGGGTACGTTGTAAACACTGGACATTGAGAACTTGTTTGTATTTTATCAGTTCGAGCCCTCAGGGAATGTGAGCGGCTGGCCGAGAGTGGGGACTGTGAGTTCTACACCCAGTGTGTCAGTGTGGGCGTCAACACGTGTTACGCTCGTGATGAATCAAAAGGATTCTGTGAGCAAACCGAAAGTAAACAGGATCAGCTGGATGCGAAGGTATTTTGTTCATCCTGTTGTCGTATTCTCACAAACTAAATTGTTTCGAAATTTCTTTTTTCCCGTTACTTCGATTATATTTTCGTAATTTTGATTTTCTTCCTTTTTTTCGAGAATATTATTGAAATAACGAGACAAAATGTTTTTTTAGAAATTTCGAGCTTTTGAAATAAACTTGAAATAATTAGAAAATAATCGAAATTACGAGAAAATAATCAAAGTGATGAGAAAGAACTCGAAATGTCGAGATAACAGTTAAAATTACGAAAATATGATGGAAGTAACGAGAAAAAAACTCAAAATTAAAAAACAACAAAGAAGTAATAGAAATAACGAGAAATCTCGGTTTAAAAATATTATATTTCTACGAAAGTGGCACCATTACTCTTCCGTACTTTACCACTTACCTTTAGACTGCTTGAGTCAAGGTGTGGTTGCATTAGCTAAAATGTACATATCGTACATATACATGGCTGCAACAATGTACATATAGTTCACTGCAACGATGTATATATGACTGCAACACAATATACGCATGTTGACTGTCACCCATGCCTTATCTACCTGCAGGGTCTTACCTACATTGAAAACGTGAGGAAATGTTTGATGAAGAACCAGCTACAACTAGGAGACTTTATTCCATGCGACACACTCAACCCTCAGATATTTATGGCAATCATTCAACCCAACGGAAGATCATCCGACTGTCTGTTACAAAGCGGCGCGGTGTGTACGGTCCTTGGTAACCGTGACAACGCCCAGGCTATTCGCAACATGTTTTCTTCAGACGGTGCTGGAGAGGTACAGAAAAGGTATAACACATTGTTTCATTTCTTAAATTTGTAATAAGGTAACAACTTGCGATTCGACAACATCATCGACAAAAACATCTGTCAAGCAGAAATGCAGGAGACCAGTGAAGATGCGGGGTAGAATAGGTCTCCAACAACCCATTCTTGTCGGAAAAGGCGACTATGCTGGTCGTAACAGGCAACTAACGGGATTGGGTAGTAAGGCTCGCTTACTTGGTTCATGAATGTCATCGTATCCCAAATGCATGGATCAATGTTCATGATGTCAGCCACTGGATTATCTGGTCTAGACTCCATTATTTAGAGACCGCCGTCATATAGCTGGAATATTCCTGAGTGCGGCTTTATCAACAAGCAAACAAATGTAGGATGTCATTCGTACAGTCTCTGCCCCATTGTACACCAGCGTTTATTGTTATGTAGACCTAATTTTTTTACAGGTGGGTTAACACTTCATACACGTTCTCTGAATTCACTGGTTTCGGCAATCGTTGGTCCAAATGTTCATTGACACCCTGTAGCGGATGCCCGATCTGTTCGTTAGGGAAACCTGAGTTAGGATGTCAAGAGACTCTTGATGTACTCAATTTTGTTTAGTATTCCCCGCCACGAAGTGGAAGGGGAATATAGAAATAGGTGCTCTCCGTCCGTCCGTCCGTCCGTCCGTCCTTCCGTCTGTCCTTCCTTCCTTCCGTCAGTCCGCCATTTTTCGTTTCCGGAGCAAAAACTCCAAAACCATGAGAGATATCTTAAACAAACTTGGCACACAGATAGGTCTAGTGGTAAACTGGTGCTTTTTGATTGGGGCTTTTGAAAATAATATTATTCGATTTTCCATAGCATTGGACATTGACTTAGACTAAAAATGGCGGTAGTGCTCGTTGAAAACCCTACAATATTTCTTGCCTTGCACACAATCGGATATTGACGGGAGATACAAGTATTTCATGCTCCTTTGGGTATGATCTGTATTATAACAATGAAATGATACTGATCGTTTGTGCATGTTTTCCTTCCACAGAATTGCAGCCTACATGGTTCTGTTGGTGCAGCAGGTGTGTGGTTCAGGTGCCCAGTGGATAGTGGACACTCTTCTCCCCAAGACATCTCCAGCTCCAGGTTGGTCAGTCAATGTACCCTCCCGTCTGTGTCAGTTCATGTACCCTCGGGGGCACGGGTGGCCCACTCGTCTAAGGCGCCACAATTCGCTGTGCATAGTTGCGTCCCTTGGGCACGTCAGGCAGATATGATTATGGGTTTGAATCCCGGTTCGCACCGATTATGTTTGCTGGTTTGTCAGCATCATACTCGTGCTCGTAGGTTTCACAAAAGAGGTAGACATGCATCACTTCAGGCTTTCCTCCCCCATCAAGCTGACTGGACCACCCGTTCCCCTCCAGTTATAAGGGGCCGGCCGAACAAAGCGTTCGCTCGTCACGCCGAAGACCCGGGTTCGATCCCCGCCATTGGTACTATGAGTGAAGCCCAATTCTGGTGTACCCCGCCGTGATATGGATGGAACATCGCTCAAAGCGGCGTAAAACCATACTCACTCACTCAATCCAGCTAAAGGAACACACGCGTGTGGAATTGATATCCCTCGCCATGATATTGCTTGAAAATTCTAAAAGCGGCGCAAAATATTATTCCCTCACTCGCTGTCGACGACGTACTGACGCTTGTCTCGCTGTATGTTTCAGCGCTGACAGGATGTGACGCGTTCAGCGTTAACGCATCCTGTGACTTCTTCCCATCATGCCTCACTGCTGCAACATCCGACTGTCGCATAGCAACACAGGTTCATCAGTACTGCATCAATTCGGAGGATAAACAGGCGGAGTTTGATTCTATGGTAAGCAATGGTTGTTGTGATGATGTCAACCCTGACTCTATGGTATCCCATATTTCAACGTGAGTAAAACCAGAATGATTACATTCTATTTTAAGTCACAACTTCGCTCTAACCTTCATCTGCTCATTTCTTTTCTTTTTAAAGCCGAATTCAGCAATATTCCAGTTATATGACTGAGGTCTGTAAACAATCAAATCTGCGCCAAATAATCCAGTGATTGATATCATGAGCACCGATCCACCTAATTGTGAGCGTGCCTGACCACCCGATCCCGTTAGTCGCCTCTTGCATGGGCTTCTGAAGGCCTATTCTAAGCCGGATCCTTTCCACAATACAATACACTCCGGACGGCCGCGCCAAGTCAATTCCGGTTTAACAGATTTCCGGATTGATGAATAGTAATTGCTAAAATAGACTAATGCCGTTTGCATATTAAACAGTGATCCTCTCGAAAGTGGGTAACGGATACACGAGGTTTCACTGAATGACTTATACTGAGGAGCAAAAGAAACTATACGTCTCAGGTGATTTTCTCATATGTTTGAATTTGAATTGAAATATCTTAAGTTGGCGATATTACATCCAAAATATTATCTGCAGTGGCGCTTAGTCAGCACTCAAAGAATACTTCGCATGATTTTTTTTTAAAAATAATTTTTATTAAAAAAAAGATTAAAATAACCATTTCGTAGAAGACACAACTGCTGATGGGTATCTTGGTAATTTGCCCAAGAATTTTACTTAAGCTTCAGGTATGTCGTTGATCTGATATCGTTCATAAACCATCAAATAGGCAATTCCCTTACACTGCTATACCCACCTGAACTAGAAATAAAGGAGGCGAGTGAGACTGTCTCATCTGTTTCATATTTAGATCTATGTAAAAAGTTACAACACTCAACGCCTCAGTAAGGCTTTCAAAACGTTTTTTGATAGACATGTGGATGGCATTACCAAATTTGACCCTCAATGACAAGGGTTATGTCCCATGTAATTCCCTTTTTTGCCTTGTACCATTTTTTCAGGTGAACAATTGGCTTGCCTTTGCATGTGTTTAGACGGGTGACACCGGTGGGGCAGAATACGTTCACCTTTTCGCGAACACCGGGTATCATCACTATGCGATATTGATTCGTAAATAAATGTTCATGATAAAGTCGGAATCGTACAATCGACTCTGCTTTTGGCAGACATTTCTTTTGAATATGGAACGGCTTTGGGCTTTTAGACATCTCATCTATGAAGATCAATAAATGTGCTTTTTCGGTACAAATTTCAAACATGGAAGGGGTCATGTGGTTGCATATTCCTTCCTCACCCCCAGTGGACCGCCTCCGTGGTCTAGTGGTAGAGCGTTCGCCCGGAGAGTGGACGGTCCGGGGTTCGATCATACCATACCAAATGACGTTGGTACTTTTTGTAACCCTGTCTGGCGCTCCGCATTTAGCGGCTCAAACAACGACTGGTCTGCTCTGTGTGCACGTCGCTATATAAGTGCAATAATCTTGGACGTTAAATCCCATTTCACCTCGCCCCAGTCTTCAATAAACTAATTAATTTTTACACTAAATTACCAAGTCACAGATTACGATTTACAAACTTTTGCAGGAATGATTCATGGTTAAATTGACATAATCAAATTTAACGACAGTTCTTTCAATTTTCAATGACATAAAAAAACAAATTCGGTTTTCTTTCTTTTGCCCCTGAGGTTTTTTTCCGTTCTTCATTATTTGTCTAAATGTACAAAACTATATTCTTTTTAAAGGGTGTCACTTACATAGAAAATGTCCGGCGTTGTCAAATCAAGAAACTTCTTCCCCTGGAGGGATCACGTGACTGCAAAGACGTAGATACCTCGGCGCTGGAGACGTTGACAAAAGTGCCCGGATGTTTATGGCAGAAAGGAGAGTTCTGCAAACTAGTCAGCACAGAAACAAACTGCATTGCGCTCTTCCACATTTTTGGTCTTGGAGGACCCAATTTAGACATCAAATACAAGTAAGTACTGACAAGGGTGCAAAATGATAAATGCCTGTAATATTTAAAATAGTTAATAAATAGAACTCAAACTTTTTTAATGGTTTTTCCGTACAAATTCCAGCGGAGTCTCCACAGAAATTCCACGGAAATGTTTTATATTTCTGCAGAATTAACGCAGAATTTTTGTAATTAGTTTGCGTAGCTGCCCCTGGACAACTCAGAACTACTGCGGATTGTACGTGAATTATTTGCAACTTATCAACAGAATGTTTTCTGCAGAACACAACATTAAACATAGTTTTGGGTTGTAGTGTAACTGTAACAATCTGTTTTGTATCTTTTTTCATACTGTTTAAAGTATGTTTGTTTGTTGTTTAACGCCGCATTCAGCAATATTCCAGCTTTATGACGGCGGTCTGTAAATAATCGGGTCTGGACCAGACAATCAAGTGATTGACATCATGAGCATCGATTCACGAAAGTGGGATACAATGAGATGCATCAACCACGTCAGCGAGCCTGACCACCCGATCCCGTTAGTCGCCTCTTACGACAAGCATAGTCGCCTTTTACGGCAAGCATGGGTTCCTAAAGACCTATTCTACCCCGGGTCTTCACGGGTCACTGCTGAGCGTAATTCATTTAAGTCATAGTATTGCTATCAATAGAAAAAGAGTTGACACAAAACACTATAACATAACTGTTAAGAATGAATTTTGATTTAATGGTATTATCTGTGGAACTATTGGGGGAGAGTGAAAGTTGTATTACGCCGCAGTCAACAATATTGTGGCTATATCGCGGTGGACCTATTAATAAATCAGTGGCGGATAGTATGAACACAAACAGACATGCCAGACATTCTTACCACACGATCCTCATTTTACTCGGCTCATACGCCAACCATTGTGTGCCTTTTCTGTCCCGGAATCCATATGGGGCGAGCGACCAGAATAGTATCATAAGTTTTATAAGTCATTTTATATTTTTCACATTTTAAGTCGGTGGATTCTCCAACCAGGTTTTATAAATGTCTTCATATACTCTTATTTTCAGATTATTTTTTACTTTCAACAACTTGGCATCTCAATGTTCCGCTGACGAAAAAGCAACCTTTGCGGCCTTCTTCTCCAAGAAGTTCCTCAACAGCGTTCAAAACGACATAGCAGCAACTACGACCACCGTAACAACGTCGACAACCACAACCACCACAACAACGCCCAGTTCTACCAGGATGATGATGAGTGGATTTAATGGGGATTAAAGATCAGTTCTTTATTTATGCACTTCTAACATGATGTGTACGTGTTGGTGTGTGACCAGTTTTAAATATAAAACGTCTAAATTCTCATTGTTATATTTCCATATATACTCCAGTATACACTGGACATATCACGATACATTGACTAAAAATCTTGTTGCGACAGTCCGTGACCCTCTTTCAGGCCTTTTCCACGATAGATCAAGTCAACATATTTTCAAACACAATAGCTGTATTATCTTGTTGATAAATCGAAGCGTTGTTGCAATTTGAGTATGCTGGGTTTTTAAAAGATATACGTTATCAATTTCATCAATGTGAAATATGCTCGGTATTAAAATATTGTTCAATAAGGGATTCGAGATAGATCCAAAAATAGAAATAAGTTCGAATATCAGTTACTATATTGTTTATTTCCTCAAAATGTGAAGTAGGTATGAAAAAATGGAGGCGGGGGAAATCCGGAAAGAAACAAGTTTAGTTTTCCTTCCGTTATTGACCCGGACCTGTCGCGATTCGTCATAATCAATTGTTTTTAAGTTTTAAGATGAATTATCAACAAGTGTTAAGTATATTAATTATTGTTTTTAAAATAATATATTTATATTTATAATGCCAGTAAATGAGTTTTCTTTTTACTTATTTCTGGTCGGCGGAATACAAAAACCACTGCTTTTCATTTTTTGGAAATCGGCGGATCCGTAAACCAAGTCTTAGAAACGTCTGGCCTAGAGAGTATGCGTCGTGTGTTTATGTTACCTCTTTGATGTGACACACTGTGCAGGTATCTGGATATAATAATACGACGTTGATATCTTTCTTCACAGAAGATAATAGTGTTGCTGTGTCATCAGTCGTGGTATTGCTTGAAATTTTTATTTTTATTTTTGAACTTACTAGTATTGTTTTCTTTAATATTATGTGTTAATCATTTGATACTTGTTTCCCCTTTCGTGTCATCAAATAATCTGTCAATAAAGGTAATAATACGTAAATCGTGTTCGCCCTTCTCTGTGGACATATATCTTTAATATTTAAAACTTTTGAGAGTGAGTGAGTGAGTTTGGTTTAACGCTGCTTTTAACAGTATTCCAGTTATGTCACGGCGTGTCAGCTTAATGTGGGAGGAAAGCCCGAAGTGATGCATGTCTCGGACATTTACCAATTTGGTGAAACCCACGAACACCTAGAACCATAATCGGGGCGAATCGGGATTCGAACCCACCATTATCGGTTTCTGGCGTGCCCAAGGGACGCAACTCTGCATCGCGAACTGCGGCTCCTTAGACGACTAGGCCACTCGTGTCCCACACTCTTGTGAAACCCACAAGCAAAAGTGTGGCGCTGGAAAACCATCATGAAGTCGAATCTGAAATTCGAACACAGGATCCTTGTACGCCTATGGGAGCGAATCGCGCAACTAGAGCCATATACTTCGGTATCCACTTCTATGACAGTTACGACTTTCCTTAAAGCTCCGCGGGGGCACTGGTTGCTCTACCGTCCAAAGCCGTGACACGGTTGGAACGTTGCCAAAAGCGGCGTTAAACAATACTCACTCACTTGATGTATGCATTATGCTAAATGAGTCGTATATAGACCATGCATAGTCTTATTGGAACTGTTAGACTGTTCACCACAAGCCTCCGTCATCTGATTACAAAATAATGTAAATAGTGAAACAATGTTTCATAATTAAATTAGTGACTACACATAAGTAGTTACATATTTTGTCGTGACGTGATCTATGAGCGCACACTACAGCTATTCCGCTAGCTCCTCACACAGGGTCCGATCTCCTGACGTCACGCGGAGTCTTGATTATCAACAACGATGAAATGTTTTCTGTAAAATCACACAACCTCTGTGTCGAGCTATCAGTTGGTTGTCGACTCAGTGAGATCCTCACAGCTCAGCATCTTGATTTGATACCTCTCCAGATCCACGATTGCCTTGTCCACACAGGCCTGGGAGGCTCCGTGACGGTGAAGGAAGCGCTCCAGCTCATCCCACGTGAGCGCCGGGAACAGGAAGTACGTCAGTGGACGGCCCACCCAGTAGGAACTTCCCTCGGGCTCCAAGACCTTCGCAGAAATAGAAACTATTATCCAATAATTATAACCGAATTAAAATTCTCAGGGGTGGGTTTTTGACACTGGAAAAATGTTAAGCTCCACGCTTTCTTGTTTTCATAAACTGACCGGCAAAAAAGTACACACCCATGTTTGATGTTGGCTAAATAAAAGCGACATTATCTTTGCATAGCAACAAGATGTCGTGAAATGTAGACACCAAAGGCTGGAGCTGCTGAAGTATTGCTCGACAACAAGGGAAAGTTGACTATTGGAAAGGTGAAGTCATCCCTTTCGCCATACAGTCTTGTGGAGATTGTTATGATTACGGAAATGATTTTGCTGCTTTTACTTATGAAATATGCCATTTCCAGTTCTTAAGACGCTCGACTCCTAGAACGATAAGGGAATCGTAGCAAAACATGATTTTACACATCATTTCGTTGCTCTTGCGTATTGGTTGAAACACTAAGAGTTGTATTAGGATCATAAATTTTGGTTTACATTCCGAAGAGAATCTCGACTCATTTGACTGACCAGCTCATGATGCACAATGTGGTCAACAAGATACAGCTCCCTCACCTCTGCTTCCACCGTATTGGTCACTTCCAGGTCAGAAATGTCTGAGCCTTCTGATCCGTCTGAAATAACGAATACTAAAGAGTTATATTAAGAGTATCATCATCATCATCATCATCATCATCATCATCATCATCATCACCATCTACATTATCATCTTCATCATCATAACCACCATTATCATCATCCCCATCATCGTTTCGCCGTCGTTGTAATCGTCACCATCATCATCGGCACAATAATCATCATCATCATCATAATGACATCCATAATCGCGAACCTTCCTGTTAGCCGAGGGGCACGGGTGGCCCAGTCGTCTAAGGCGCCGCGATTCGCTGTGCAGAGTTGCGTACCTTGGGCACGCCAGAAACCTATGATTGTGGGTTCGAATCCCGGATCGCCCCGATTATGTTTCTAGGTTTGTCAGCACCATACCCGTGCTCGTGGGTTTCACCGAAGTGGTAAACGTCTGAGACCTGCATCACTTCGGGCTTTCTTCCCACATTAAGCTGACACGCCGTGATATAACTGGAATAATGTTAAAAGCGGCGTTAAACCAAACTCACTGACTGACTCCTGTTAGCCACGGTGGTCAAAGGCCTGACAATGTTTGCCTTCTTACACTAATTGTCTTCACAACTCACCATGCAGGTTGTCTCCCTTGGATAGCATGATCAAATCATTTAGAGTCAATGGAAAATATATTTAGTCGTGTTTAATACATATGCTTCCATCCACACCAACAAATATCCTAAACCACACAGCGTCACTCTACTATGTGGATAATATGAATAATATGTCTGCATTTAAACCTTTAGCTAAACACAGCATTGTCAACATTACCATAATCTTATTTGTATTTCGTCAAATATACAGTTACTAATCGTTTCCTCAAAGACATATAAAGTCCAAAGTTTTATGCTATCGATTTTGTTACATATTATATCGTTAAACAGCAGGGCGACTGTACTTCCCCCATCAAGTAAAAAAAAGTAACAGTTTCAATAACTGTCATGCAAAAACGACATTGTCCTTTGAGTTAAATATCTGCATATTCGCACGCGTCACACGTCACGCGACAATTGAAGTTTGTCAACCGTTTAAAAATCTGATACTTAATATGTGATTTGTTCAGTCGGGGCTTCAAAACATATACTACTTCACATTAGGTAGGGATGAGTTCATATCCATGATACAAAAAACTGATAATCATAATAACGTGTATATTTACATGGAAAGACATGTGATTATTCCTATCAATAATTGAGCGTATTATTTTTTTCTAAATAGTAAAGTCAAACCATTCTTTGGGACAGAATTTAAAAATTTAATTCCTTAATATATTTTGGGAGAGGGGAGAGGACAACTTATATTTTCTTCCAGCATTTGCGGGGGCCCCGAAATCAAATGGTCGGGCCTGATATATTTAACCCTACAAATGAGAATAATATAGCTGTCCCGTCTTATCTCTATTGTACTACTGCTGTACAGGCCTGTCACTGTGACACAGGGTAATGGAATATGTCCCCCACTCACTAAGTGACATTGTCATGGTCCAGATACCTGAAACTTATCCGTGTGTCTGTTTAAGGAGGCAATGTCAAGCTGTAAACTGAGGCTCGCCAGGGGGGAGACACTTCAACTTTAAACTTTTCTTTTTTTATCAAGTCGAAAGTTCTCTTTAAATGTTAACATTTCTTTTATTAGCTCTTCGAGACCTCAGTATGTTAAATGTCAGAATGAGCTGAAAGTGAGTGCGGTGATCTAGCGTTTCTCTATCTGGATAATGTACTCATCTACCTGTCTGTACATGTACTTACCTACCCCTCTGTCTGTCTATGCCCGAGGCTATACATGTGCTTACCTGCATGTATATTTGTCTATGCCTGAAACTATGTATGTGCTTGCCTTCCTGCATATGTGCCTATGCGCGAAGCCATTCATGTGCTTGCCTTCCTGCATATGTGTCTATGCGCGAAGCAATTCATGTGCTTGCCTACCTGCATATTTGTCTATGCGCGAAGCTATTCGTGTGCTTGCATATCTGTTTATTTTTTCTATGCCTGAAACTATTCATGTGTTTGCCTATCTTCATATGTGTCTGTCCCTGAAGATATTCATGTGTTTGCCTACCTGTATATGAGATATGCCTGAAGCTATTTATGTGATTGCCTGCCTGCATACATGTATTTGCTTATGCCTGGAAATTTTCATTTGCTTGCATATCTTTATGTCTGTCCATGCCGGATGCTATATATGTGCTTGCCGGACTGTATACTAGTATTTGTCTATGCCTGAAACGATGGATGGTCTCGCCTGCCTGTATATTTGTCTATGCCTGAAGCTATTTATGTGCTTGCCTGTATATTGTTCTATGCCTGAAGCTATTCACGTGCTCGCCTGCCTGTATATTTGTCTGTGCCTGAAGCTATTTATGTGCTTGCCTGTATATTGTTCTATGCCTGAAGCTATTCACGTGCTCGCCTGCCTGTATATTTGTCTATGCCTGAAGCTATTTATGTGCTTGCCTGTATATTGTTCTATGCCTGAAGCTATTCACGTGCTCGCCTGCCTGTATATTTGTCTATGCCTGAAGCTATTTATGTGCTCGCTTACCTGCATATTTCATGCGCTTAACCGCCTGTATATGTGTCTGTGTCTGAAACTATTCATGTGCGTGTGTGCCTGAATCTGTGTCCATGCCTGAAGCTCGCCATGTGTCTATCTGTCTGTATACTATCTACGCGTGAAGCAACCTGCCTATCTACCTGGTGTTGAGTGGCAAATATCGACCACCAGCTCAACGTTCTCATATAAAGCTACCTACCATCTGTACCTGTGAATCATATTACCTGACTGCATACCCTGTCTATACCCGAGCCGATGCCTACCGTCCTACTTCCAAAGTTTCCTGGTACCAAGGGTTAATTAACACCCCAGCCTCCGCGCCCCTCACTCGTACAATTAATTGGTCGTTATACTGGGAGCAGCGCTAAATC